TTTTCTGATTTCTGTAAAGAAAATCAAGGTTGCTTGTGGTTTTATCCGATAGATTACGAGCTCTGGATAGTATCTATTGGGTTAGTGCGTAGACTGATTTCTGGGATGGGCTTGTGAACAGGTGGACAGAACATGTGCCAATGTCACCACTTGAGGGCTGCCCTACTGTTTTTCAAGTCATTTGCAACTTGACGCCGGGATATCATCAGGTTAATAACTGTTGATAATTATGTACTGGACTTGTTTCATAACAAATTCTTCGTGAGTTATTCCCTGCTGGAGCATTTAGGTCCTTATTTTATTTTCATGCAGTATAAGTTCTTTGTTGATGGGGAATGGCGGCACGATGAGCACCAACCATTTGTGAGCGGAAATGGTGGAGTAGTGAATACAATATTTATAACTGGACCAGATATGGTTCCCACTGGTTTTAGTCCAGAGACACTTGGCCGATCGAATATGGATGTGGATGATGTCTTCCTGCGAATGGTAAGGAACTTGACCTTTCTTCTCTAAAAAATGCAGTGTTTTTTGTTTACTTATTAGTATCTTAGTTGCTTTTGTGTTTCGAATACAATATCTATATGAATTCGACGCTTATTCTTTTCGTTCTTGCGAATCTGAAGTCTTAAAAGAGAAACGATCTCTCGAAAAAGGGAAACATGTAAAGTCTTGTACACGTGGGAAAGAAATTATTTATGCTGATGGCATCTTCTTCCATTTTCTATGCGTCTGAAATGTGTTACAACCAAATATTGTATAATGTTTGCTGTGTCGTATTGACATTTATTTAGGCTTATCAGTTCTATGAATTGTGTTGCAAGATAGTAGAGATCCCCTTAATATATGATAAATTTTGATGCATTAACTATGCTAAGCAAAGATTTTACTTGTGCCTAGCATTTGACAAAGTAGTAATTTTGATCTGTGGTAGGTATTCTCTAGAGTTTTTTTTTCACTTCACAATAATTGAGATATGATTGATTGTACAACATTGTTTGATGTATAAAGCAAGAATCCCTAAGTTCCATAAATTGACTCTGAAGACTACATTCAAAGTGAGTTTCTGACTACTTTTACATGGTGATTATGTTGAAGGCTGATTCATCCCAGGAATCTATCCCTAGGATGTCAGGGGTTGATTTGGAGGTGTCTCGTCATCGTATTTCTGTTTTATTGTCTACTCGTACTGCATATGAGCTGCTCCCAGAGTCCGGCAAGGTCTGGTTTCTTCTTTTTCTTATTGTTTGATGATTTTTGCCTTCATGTCCTATAAATTCTCGATGAGAATAGCGTCTGGCTTCTAAATTGGAAATTGTCTAAGGTGATCGGAAACTTTTATAGGTTATTGCATTGGATGTTAATTTACCAGTGAAGCAAGCATTCCATATACTCTACGAACAGGTTTGCTCTATTTATCAGTATGTCAATTCCTGTTCTAGTTTGGGATCTTCCTCTCTCTGTCCCTCACAGTCATGTATGACATTCTAATGTGTTGCATCCAGACCCGAAAATATAAGGAAGTGAAACTTAATTGAACTACATTCGTCTAATTCATTTCTAGATTGTCTGGCTTTCTCGTTTTTGCTAATTCCGTATGGTTTCAGGGAATCCCTTTGGCTCCTCTTTGGGACTTTGGTAAAGGCCAATTTGTTGGAGTTCTAGGACCGCTGGACTTCATTCTAATACTGAGAGAGGTTGGCTTCTCTAAAACTTTGTTCATTTCTAGATAATTTCTTCGAGTTATAGATGTATCATTTTAGAATTTCCAAGAGGAGAGGAAGTCTGGATATCATAAATCCTGATTTTAGCTTTCTCAGAGTGAGGTTTTTCACTCTTGCGTGGTAATAGCATCTTTGAAATTGCAGCTTGGAACTCATGGATCAAACTTGACCGAGGAAGAGCTTGAGACGCACACAATAGCAGCCTGGAAAGAGGGGAAGGCTCATATTAGCAGACAATATGATGGAAGTGGGAGACCATATCCTAGGCCGCTTGTTCAGGTGAGATTTTATCATTTGCTTTCTACCGCTATCAATACTGATCTTTTTTGTGTAGCTTATCCAAAAACCTCTATTGCATGCTACAGTGAAAAGAGCTAGAAGATTTTCTCTTGCGATTAATGTTTTCATATATTGCTATCAGGTTGGGCCCTATGATAATCTGAAAGACGTTGCCCTGAAAATTTTGCAAAACAAGGTGGCAGCCGTTCCAGTTATATATTCTTCTTTGCAGGATGGTTCATATCCGCAGTTACTGCATCTTGCTTCGCTATCAGGCATATTAAAATGTAAGGTCCTTCAAATGTGAATAAGACCATCGGTCCAAGCTGGCCATACACACTTGTCAGTTCATGATGTGCATATGACTCCCATTTCCAAAAAATTCCCTCCTTTTTATTTCTCCAAATTTTCTGTGAGGGGATTGGATCTATAGAAAGGAGGGCAGTTAGAGCTTTTATAGTTGGAATAGCCTGTTAGTCACGGTTTTCCTGTTGTATTGAATTATTTGCGAAACTTCATGCTTCTTATCAGACACTTTATCTCTAAATTAAGCATAATTTTCCAGGTATATGCAGATACTTTAGACATTCGTCTAGCTCTTTGCCAATCCTTCAGCAGCCCATTTGTTCCATTCCTCTGGGTACTTGGGTCCCTAGAATTGGAGAATCAAGTAGCAAACCGCTCGCTACATTGAGACCACATGCCTCTTTGGGTTCTGCGCTCTCATTATTAGTTCAAGGTAATCTGTTTTTGCTCCTGTTTCATCAATATATTATTTTACGTCCATCCACAACTTGAGACCTTTACATTTCAATCAGATTTTTGTTTTTAAATTTTTATCATAGATGGTTGATCACCTAGTAGCTGAACACATGGTTTTCTTCGACCTTTCTTATCAAAATTGTTTTAAAGAGCATTATATCCATACACACCAGATAAGTAACTTTAGATGCTAGACATCTTTTAGAATTGTAGTACAGATGTGATTGTTGCAACAATTGAGATTCAGATTTACTTTAAACTAATTAGGTTTAGAAAAGTTGAAACCTAATTGGAAATCTAAAGCGAATAGATTTCAGAAATTCACATGATGCATAGCATGCGAGTACCTTTTTTCCGTTTCCTCAGATTGAATTGAATGAATGAATCGTGCTTCATCAACGCCTCTAACATCTTTGTGTTTTCTGGTTTTTGTAGCTGATGTTAGTTCAATTCCCGTAGTGGATGACAATGACTCGCTTATTGACATATACTCCCGAAGGTAAACCTCTGTCCATCAGTTGACATGATATGTTTTCTGCAATTCCATTTTTTGAATTCATGTATTCTGATCACATATATTTGTATTGACCAGTGACATAACTGCACTGGCTAAAGACAAGGCATACGCACAGATTCATCTTGATGACATGACGGTTCACCAGGTAAACCTCTCATCAGAAGCCAAGAACCAACCCCGCGGTCTCATCAAAGTTTTTCTTTTTACGAGTTTTGTGAAGTCTAAGCTACAAGCTATTTTATAACAAGTCCGAACGTATCTAGAAGGATGAAAAAAGAGATCAAAGGTTATAGTAATGCGGTTAAAGTGGAGAATGTGTGTGTGGTTTCAGGCGCTGCAGTTGGGGCAAGATGCGAGTCCGCCTTATGGAATATTCAACGGGCAGAGATGTCACATGTGCTTGCGCTCAGACTCTCTTCTGAAAGTGATGGAGCGGTTGGCGAATCCAGGTACAATCTCCCACATACAGTCTCATGTGCATTTGTGTCTCTTGATTGAACATTATCAGCAGATGAGAAGAAGTAAATCGGGTTTATTGGCTTTTGTGTGAAACACACAAAAACAGGTGTAAGGAGGCTGGTGATAGTGGAAGCAGGGAGCAAACGTGTGGAAGGTATCATTTCTTTGAGCGATGTTTTCCAATTCCTGCTCGGTCTTTGACTCCCACAACAAAACGACCTCCCTCAAAACACTCAATTCTCATTTCCTCAACTCAAAACTACCCAACAATTTGCTTCTTCTTCTTCTTTTTATTTTCTTCTTCTTCGTATCGTGTTTTTGCAAGGAATTTGTAAATTTGCTACGAACCTCTTCATTGTTTTCTTCTTATTTTTGTTGTTTTAGTTGAACGGGTTTTCATTCTTGTGAAGATATTGGCTACCGGAATCTTTACTAGTAGCTTCTCTCAGCTCTTTTTTATTTATTTATTGTTATTGTTCTTTATGCTTCAAGCGTAATTCTACCAACGTTATGTTCGAAACAGCACGGGAAGGCCATAGGACAACAATATTGTAGACAGATCATTAATTCTCACCAGAGAGATACTAAAGGCTATGATTAATGTTTACAAACAAATACTATAAAACGTGTAGAAAGCAAATGCAAAGATTTTATTTCTTTCGTTCAAAACAATGAAAGCTCAATGCTCGTGAATGAATAGACCAGTGAACCGGTTCTTCTAAAAAGAATATGTTTTATTTTAGAAATAATAAACCGGTCGTAAATGAATAATTGTAGCTCAATGTCCACATACCGGTTGTTTTAAAAAGAAAAGTTTTATTTCGTTTGATTTTTTCAAGTTTTGATACAAAATTTTACTAAATTTGTAACAAATTGTATTCTCCAATATCCTTGATTTTTTGGTTGATTAGCTATTAAATAATCTTTTTGATATAAAATGTAAAAGAAATATACTCCGGAGTAGAATTTATGCATATTGACGTTTTAAACTTATAGTCAACGAGATTCCCAAATAGAAGCTATGAATAGTTGGTGCGAGGTTCCCAATGAATGGATGTGAAGCATAACTAAGTGTGAGTAAAAACCGGGTCTGCATTTTTCAATGCGTTGGTCATCGTTTATTTGAAGCAAAACTGGGAAACACATGGGATCTCTTTCAGCTCTTGTCTGACATCTGGACCGGATCATTACTAAGCTCTTGCTCCGTCACACTCAAATTCACAGGTGTTGGTAGAGCGAGCTGAGAATTAGCAACTAAAATGGCGCATATCGGGAAGACGGTACTAGATTCCGGCTGGCTAGCGGCTAGATCCACGGAGGTCGATTACGACGGCGTCCAGCTCACTACCACCAGTCCACCGACCCTCGGCTCCGAATCTCGGTGGATGGAAGCCGTCGTCCCTGGAACGTAATCTTCACTCTTGGTTTTCTCTAATTTTAAGCAAGTTTAGATTTTTTCCTTCAAACATTCTATTTCTTCATGGATCCGCTTTCGTTTTGTGCGCCAAGTATGAGATTTTCCTGATTATAGCTTCTTACTGTTCCTCTGGACAGTGTTTTGGGCACATTGGTTAAGAACAACTCTGTTCCAGATCCTTTCTATGGGCTAGAAAATGAAGCTATCACCGATATTGCCGACTCCGGAAGGGACTACTACACATTCTGGTTCTTCACTAATTTCCAATGTCAAAGGGTCAGTGACCCATTTCGACTCTCACTTTTTGTTGCTATATATCACTATCTTGTATTCATTTCATTGCTATATATTTCACAATGTTGTATTGTTTGACGTTTTTCGCAGTTGTTGAATCAATACGTGCATCTTAATTTCCGCGCCATCAACTACTCTGCGGAACTGTATGTAAACGGCCACAAGACAGTGCTTCCCAAGGGGATGTTTCGCAGACATACACTTGACATCACTGATATTCTGCATCCTGAGAACAACTTACTTGCTGTTATCGTTCATCCCCCTGATCATCCTGGCACTATACCTCCCGAAGGAGGCCAAGGCGGTGATCACGAGGTACACCCTTCTCTCTCTCTCTCTCTTTCTTTGAGAAGCTCGAGGCATTGTTGTTTCTTTGCATTATACCAATGTGGCTGAATATCTATCGACAGATTGGGAAAGATGTAGCTGCACAGTATGTGGAAGGCTGGGACTGGATTTGTCCGATAAGGTGATGTTTTTACTTGTTTTTTTTGTTAGAAGATTGAGCTTATCAAATAGTTAAAGGCATAGTATAACCTTTTTCTCTTGTAGGGATCGGAATACTGGCATATGGGATGAAGTGTCAATATCTGTTACTGGGGTTGGTTTAGTTTTCCTTACAGAGATTATATATCTAGTGTTGAGTTTCTCCATGGAGCAAGTTTATAGTTAAGTTCATCATGAATGTTGCTATTAGGAACTGATTTGTTTTGGTTGCAGCCTGTAAGAATAATTGATCCCCATTTGGTGTCAACCTTCTTTGACGGTTACAAGAGGGCTTACCTGCATGCGACTGCTGAACTTGAGAACAAAAGCTCATGGAATGCTGACTGTTCTGTAACTGTTCAAGTAACGGCCGAACGCGAAAACGGAGTTTGTTTAGTTGAGCATCTTCAGACAGAGAATGTTCGGATCCCTGCTCGAGGACATATTCAGCACACATTTAAGCCGGTGAGTGGTAATCGTATATTACTTGTTTACGACTTTAATAACTTTCTCTTGTAAATGTTTTATTACATAAGCTAATGAGATAGTGAATTACCAGCTCTTTTTCTATAAACCTGAACTGTGGTGGCCCAACGGGATGGGAAAGCAAAACCTTTATGACGTCATGATCACTGTCGTTGTGAAAGGATTCGGGGAATCTGATTCGTGGATGCAGCCATTTGGATTCCGCAAGATTGAGAGTGATATTGATAATGTCACTGGTGGAAGGTAAGCTTTGCATATTCCAGTTTCATTTCGAAATGGATAGGATGATTCTGTGGAGGCTCTGCATCTTTCTTTTGAATTTTCCAGGCTGTTCAAGATCAACGGTGAGCCCATCTTCATCCGTGGTGGCAATTGGATACTATCAGATGGGCTGTTACGCCTCTCTAAAGAACGTTACAGAACCGACATAAAGTTCCATGCAGATATGAACATGAACATGATCCGTTGCTGGGGCGGTGGGCTTGCTGAAAGGCCGGATTTTTATCACTTTTGTGATATCTACGGTTTGTTGGTACGATTCTAGAAGTGTTGTTTGGTGTCATCCCGTATTCAACATTTATTGCCATTTCTGAAAAATATGTCTAATTTGATCTCAGGTCTGGCAAGAGTTCTGGATCACTGGAGATGTTGATGGAAGAGGTGTTCCAGTGTCAAATCCAAACGGACCACTAGACCATGACTTGTTCCTTTTATGTGCTCGTGATACTGTGAAACTTTTGAGAAACCATCCGAGCCTAGCTCTTTGGGTGGGTGGGAACGAACAAGTTCCGCCAAAAGACATAAATGAGGCTCTAAAGCAAGACCTGGCGCTTCACCCTTATTTCATAACCCAAATCTTATCAGACCAGGATCCAGATCCGAGTGTTTGTCTTGACGGTACTAGAGTTTATATCCAAGGATCTATGTGGGACGGCTTTGCAGATGGAAAGGGAAACTTCACTGACGGCCCTTATGAGATTCAGTACCCTGAAGATTTCTTTAAGGACACATACTATAAGTTTGGGTTCAATCCGGAGGTGGGTTCGGTTGGAATGCCAGTTGCAGAGACGATAAGAGCGACAATGCCTCGAGAAGGTTGGGAGATTCCTCTGTTTAAGAAGGGCTCAGACGGGTTTGTGGAAGAAGTGCCGAATCGAATGTGGGAGTACCACAAGTACATCCCATATTCTAAGCCTGGAAAAGTTCATGACCAGATTCTGATGTATGGTGCTCCCGAGAATCTCGATGACTTCTGCTTGAAGGTACATCAAGGATCTCGACCGTTTTAGCCTCAACCTAGTGTGATTTACTAAGTGAAGATCGCAAGTGACGTATTATGACTTTGTTTCTTTCTTCCTCTGTGGTACAGGCTCAAATGGTGAACTACATTCAGTACAGAGCTCTATTCGAGGGCTGGAGTTCGAGAATGTGGACAAAGTACACGGGTGTCTTGATCTGGAAGAACCAAAACCCCTGGACTGGTCTCAGAGGCCAGTTCTACGATCATCTTCTCGACCAAACAGCCAGCTTCTATGGCTGCCGTTCCGCTGCAGAGCCAGTCCACGTCCAATTAAACCTGGCAAGTTACTTTGTTGAGGTCAGTGTCATTCACTATAACTCTTTCTCTGACAATCGCTGTGAAACGAATGTCTCGGGAAACAGTATAAGAGTCTTGATCTATAGATATTGTGAATAATACGTGAAAACATGTACTTTTGACACGCGCAGGTTGTAAACACGACTTCCAAGGAGCTATCAGATGTGGCGATAGAGGCATCAGTGTGGGATCTAGATGGCAACTGCCCATACTTCAAAGTGTTCAAACAAGTATCCGCACCGGCAAAGAAAGTTGTGCAGATATCGGAGCTCAAGTACCCGAAATCAGAAAACCCGAAGCCTGTGTATTTCCTTCTTCTAAAACTGTACTATGTCTCAGACAACAGGGTTATATCCCGGAACTTCTACTGGCTACATCTGCCTGGGCAGAATTACACGCTCTTGGAGCCCTACAGAAAGAAGCGGATACCTCTCAAGATCACTTGCAATTCAGTGTTGCTCGGTCCAAAGTACGAGCTGGAGTTCAGTGTCCATAACACATCTAGACCTGGCTTAGCCGGAGGAAACGTTGTTCAAGACGATGGAACACGCGATATGGGTTTGCTCCAGAAGCTCTTTAGTAGACGCGTTGTTTCTACAGATAGCAACCGCGGTTTGAAAGTGGTGGAAATGGAGGGATCTGATCCAGGAGTTGCCTTCTTCCTTCGTTTCTCAGTCCACAACGCAGATACAGAGAAACAAGACACGAGGATTCTGCCTGTACACTACTCTGACAACTATTTCTCACTAGTTCCAGGTGAATCAATGTCTTTTAAGATCTCATTTGCAGCTCCTACTGGCATAAAGAAGACTCCTCGTGTTATGCTTCGCGGCTGGAACTACCCTGATGGGTTTACTGTTTTTGGTTAAGACAAGATACGTTTCGTGTTTGTAACATAACTGTGTGATAACTCAAACCTTTCAATAAATGACACTTGCACATGTTTCGCCATTTGTACTTCACTCTATAATATGCACCCGACAATCTCACAATACACCCATCTTATACATTCAAAAAGCATTTCAGAATCATATCTTCAGACCAAATCTCGTGTCTACTTCTCGTCACCGTAAAATAAGAGTTACATATATATATATACTAGTTGAGCAATCAAAAATCAAAAGCCGAGGATTAAGACCACCTCTACCTGTCTTGCCCTTAAACAGAGATTTTTGTACATGTCATTTTCCTGGAGATGCAAACCTCGACTTCTCTCTCGGTCGGCTCAAGCTTCTGTCTCTTGGGGGTGATCCCAACCCTGCTTGGCGGATGATCTCTGCAACAACATATACAGTACCACAAGTCAACGAGTTGATTTACACAAATGCTATGCCATGTTTCTCAATATTACATCATTGCATGTTAACGCTGGCAAAGCCACCATTCTAAAAAAGTACAACCCTTTGCACCTATATTTTTACTGGTGGCTTTGGTTAATTTTAATAAAATGCAGCTTTCTTTCAACACTGGTCAAACAATAAGCATGAGAGAATTTACAACTTTTTTCCTAGTTTAGTGAGTGAATGGCAGCAACAACAAAGCAAGTTACCGTGATTATTTTAAAATATTTATTGATCTAGATGCGTTGTCATGCAAGATCTGACATCAAAGAAAACAAAACAAAGCATGCAGTGTGCAATCAAGGAGATGGAAATTCATAAAAGGGCTTACCGTGTCGCTTTCTTTCCAGTTCTTGATCAAGCTCTTCCTTCCATTTCTTCTCTATCTCTGACAAAGCAACACTGCAAACCCAAAACCAGCAGATGAAGGAAATGAGTCGACAACCCTAGGCGAATGGAAAAATTGAAACCGTTGCTGGCCAGTGGACGGATGTTTTGAAATTATTAAACTTTGCATGATTCGTGATTACTACTCTATATGGCCGTAAAATCATCACTTTGATAACCCAAAATGAAACAATTTTGTGAAATGAAGGGCGATCAGAGCTTAAGACCTGTCTGAATGGGAATTATTTCTGGCTTTTTGACTAAAAGATCAAAGGAAATGTCTAAGCCCTTATAACTTAAATCCGTATTTTTTTTTCTTCCGCAACTAACCTCTGGCTGCTTGATTCCAGTTCAATATCAACAATAAGACCCCTCCAGTCAGTGACCCGGGCTGATACACCATTTTGCGAAGCTTCATCACCTCTATTGTTCATATTCGATTCACGACTACTACCACTTCCTGGGCTCTTGGAACAACTAACTGCGTCTGTTGCTCTAGAGGGTGAACCACCAAGAGGACCCCGACTCGGTGACCTGCTTTTTGGAGGCAGTTTCAGGAAACCACGAGCAGTGTCCTCTCGTTTACTGTTACTTAAATTACTCTCCATACCACTGGGAGAGCATGTGATCAAACTGTTGTAATATTCTTCATATAGAGGCGTCTGTAACTTCTTTAGGTCTTCAGCCTGCGATTGATAGATTCAGAGCTATGTTAGTGCTGGACCGAACGTGATTTACGTACAAATGCAGTATGATAGTGTAGTATAGTGTGCATGAAGCACCTTCTCATCTAAGAAGGATTTAATTTTTGACTCGGTCAGCTCCTCATCATCCTCTGAATATGAAGTTTGGTCAACTTCCATGTTCGTTTTAGTTTCTTTCTCTCCATTACCAGGACTTTCATCGGATTTGGAGTTCAAAGCATTAGACATATCACTTATGGCATCACAGCTCTGTCAACAAATTGAAACTCAATTCAAACAAGAGTCGAGACTTGAATTGGCCATGGGAAATTTAAGAAATATGAATCATATGTACGCTTACCTTCAGATCACTATTATTCTCAATGGTAGGCCTTGCCTTTCCGTCAAATGTCAAGAAATTCTCATCATCAATCAAACACATATCGTCTTCATCACCTCCATTATCATTTGGTTGCCAGAAATTGTTGTTTTGGATTGATTTCACAGGATATGCAACTGAATAATTCAGACTGCCCAAGTTACACATGTCTCCTGCATCGTTGCATGTAGAATCTGGACTGAAACAAAGGAAACAGACAATACAAAGTTAGAATCTTTCATTATACCCAAAAGGTCATTTTTAATACTTTTGGTTTCAGCCAGATTCTTAGAACTTACGAGCTTTTAGTGTTGGTTAACTGTGACAGTGGAGAAGTACTAGCATTGTTCTGGAAAATAACAAAAATGATCCTATCAAGATGGCTTCACGAACAACTTAGATGATATTCATAAGATGGTCAACATGCACCCACCATGACAGAACCAAGATCAGTAAAAGAAGACTCCTTGTGTTTTCCCGTAACAAAAGGATGCTGCAAATAGAACAAAATTAAAAACACTCTCCCAAAAAAAAAAAAAAAACAATTAGATATTGTGGTGCATCACTTAAATTGTTTATGGTTCACCTTTAGAAGCTCAGATGCGGTTGGCCGCAAATTTGGTTCCCTGCCAAGATGAATCAATGATCAGCACTCCCAAAGACAAGACACAATAGTAGTGACGGAATAGACTTTTGAACTCATAACAAGTTTCTGAAGCAAAATAGCTTACTCCTGCAAACACTTGAGCAGAAAGTCTTTTGCATCAGAGGAGAGATTATCAGGTATTGGAGGATGAGATTTTGTTGTTCCAATGAAGAAGATGGCAGCAACCTGAAAAGATAGTATGTACACCTGTTATCAAGAAGCAAAATTCGTTGCGAAAATTATAACCAGGAATAGGAAATTAAATACCTCTTTATACTGCTGACTCCAAGGAGCCTTCCCAGTCACCATTTCAATAACTGTACAGCCCACGCTCCATATATCAGCAGAGCTGAAAATAATATCCACAGGGTTATGAGAAATCAAAATGATGGAACATACGTCACCAGAACTACAAATGATAGCCACAGTCGTATGAGATATCAGTAACGAAATATGTGATTTCGCATGCTTGAGTGCTTACAAGCTATGTCCAGTTTGAAGAATAACTTCCGGAGCCATCCAATAGGGTGTCCCTTTCATAGATTTTGCACCAGAAATCGTAGCCTAGATATGAAAATATGTAAGAAATAAGTAAACATAGAATGATTCATGCAATATAAGTTGAAGAAACAAAATAATTGACTTACCAACTCAGCTACTTGTTTGGATGCACCAAAATCAGCAAGTTTAATGCATCCTTTGTTATCCACAAGGATATTAGCGCCCTGAGAACAGAAGAGGAACATAGAACACCATGGGCAAGGACTCGAGATTGTAAGCACATTCAAAGTATGGGGAAAAATGGTACCTTTATGTCTCTGTGCATAATTGCATGATGGTGAAGGTACTCCAACCCACAAAGCAGCTGCTTTGTGTATGTCCGTACAACCTAATTCAACCACTCTCAACATTTAAATACAAACATTCTAATAGACAGAAAAAAGAAAGAAGAAAAATCAAGCATGAGTTACTGATTCAGGAAAAGGTCCGAATTTCTCCAAGAGCGATGATATAGATCCACCAGGAACAAACTCGAGAAGGATATTCAGGGTGTCATCTTCCCTCACCGTGCCCAAATATCTCTAAGGCCAAAGAAAATACTACCTGAGTTAGATAACACAAGAAAGTCCTGGATCCATATGCATTGAGAAGAAGACAATAGCCACAGTTCCGTACAACTATATTTGGATGGGAGAGATTTTTGAGAAGCTTAACTTCTTCCTCCAGCTCCTGAATATGAGCCTTTGTAGCACCAAGATAGAAAAATTAAGTCATGAATAGACCCAGATGTACGGAAATCCATAGAAAGTTGAATAGGAAAACTCAATGAATGTAACAATTTAAAAAAATAAAAAGGCAGTATAAACCATATATGGGTTGGGTTGTTTATGAACCTGAGTTTTATCCTTGGAAGCACAATTGGCTGCAATCAGAACCTGAGAACAAATAATTGAAACAAAGTAACAATCAGATAAACTCCATGAGGAAGAAAAAAGTAAGATAAATGCTTCCAAGCTGAACAAATTGCTGCAGAAACCAATTCAATGAACACTAAGAGTTACAATCCATGAGAACAGTTAAATGGCGGATCCGAGATTCAAATCCCAAAACTGAAATTAGCGGCGAGAGGATAACGTTTTCAGACTAAGCCCCAATTAGCTTCAAATACATAACTCCGCGAGCAGGAAATCAAAACCCTAGCGTACCTGTTTGACGGCGAGAAGCTCCCCGGAGTCAAGATTCATACCCATGTACACTGTACCGAACGCGCCACGGCCAATTAACTGACCTTTCCTCCACGAAATCGGAGGTGCCATTTCTACAGAGGTAGTAGGAGGAGGCGAGGAGGGGAGGGGTTTGATAAAAGCCCTCGATTTGCGGATGCACGAGGTGATCTTATCGGCGAGAACGCCGGGAAATGGGGGCTGGTTCTCCGGGCTATCTTCGTCGGAGGTAGGACGATAAACAAGCGATCGACGAACCGAGCCGAAGAAGTCTTGCATTTGAACGATTGGGGGAAGACGGGTTTCACTCTGACTCTTTGTTTCATCGGTCGGCAAAAGCATAAACGAGTGTGAGAGGGAAAAAAGGCATCGAAATTTTTACTTTAAAAAAATAAGAAAACAAAAATACACCTCTACTAGAGTAGATTTTGGACCGCAATTAAACCAACTTTCAAAATTTGTGTAGATGAAGAAATCGAGTATTTTTGTCACTTAAACTTAAAGTATTAATTAATGGTAATGATACGTATCTAAAATAAAATAAAATAAAACCGTTTAATTGGTAAACTTTGTGTAATGGTGAAATGGTAGAAAAATTTAATTTCTTAAAAATTTTGTTAATCAAAAAAATTTACAGAAAAACGCTAAAATTCGAATTCTGCGGAATAGTGAAAATATTTACAAAAAATACAAAAAAATTTGATTAAGTGGAAAAGTGTGTTTCAAATAGCTTATTTGTGGAATAAATATTTTATATCATTCAATTATATAACTAATTATATTTTATTATTTAAATAAATATAAATAAATATATTTATACTACATATATTTATATAATAGTTATATATTTTATAGTAAATAAAAAATAAATAATTACAATAAAAAATTTAATTTTTTCTAATTATATTAAAAATATATATATAATAATTAATATTTTAATTTGTATTATATTAAATTATATATAAAATATATTATTATAAAAAAAATAATTTTATATATTTTGACTATATCCTATGATTACCAAGGAGAGCTATTTTTCGCATAATTTATCCAATCATATCAAATTAATTATTTTACTATTCTGCATTATGTCATTCTACAATTTAATTTTGTCTACCATTACGCAGTTTTTATTGTGTTACCAATCAGAGCCAAAAAATTCCTTCAAATAAATACATACATATACATGACATATATCATTCAATCATGGAAAATTTTGAAAAAAATGTCATTATTTTTGACTGCTTCTAATTATTTCAGTCATCTCTTAATTCGCTATTCTTTTTCCACTAAAAAAAAAAACTAAAAGGATCAAAGTCGCTTTGTTTGTGAACAAGCGAGTTCCGTTTACTTTTTTCCCAAATGCTTTCATGCCTCCATGGCGCCTCTCAAACCAAATCAATTTTATTGAAAACGCTCTCACGGACTAATTGAGAAGGTTCTTCTTCCTTGGATCTCTTACTTCAACTCTCCAATGCCTTTCAGGTAAACCATTGAGCTTAGCGATTTTCCTCCACTTCTCAATGTTCTTGTCCATCTTACGAGTCAAACCACAATAACCTTTCAACTTCTTGGGCATCTTGTCGTACACTTTCCACCATCTCTCATTCACCGACTCGCTTGCATACACACGCCGCGTTTTCAAGTCCCAGTTACAGTCGTAGTCTCTGTAACACAGCCATGGTTTTATCCCCAAGTAGTGTATCCCCTCTAAATTGTCCGGAAGATGGCGTTTTTTGCCCTTGTTGCTTTCATCACCGAAGTACTTCATCGTATTCACACGCTTCGATAACCTATGCCACCACACAAAATATTCGTTCAGAAATCCTTGGTCTCCTCCGTTGTAAGACTCGATCTTGAACGACCTCAGCATCAGATCCTGGAACAGACATGCTGATGGCTCCAGAACCTGAAGAAAACGTACAATTAGGGTCTCTTAAATAAACATTATTCGGATTAAACAACGGAAATGAAGAAATTATGGCTTAGATGCATTACCATGACTCCAGAGTTGAACAAGACTCTGTTGTTGCCAGCGGCCGAAAGTTGAGGATAGAAGAAAAGATAATCAACATTCTTGGCGATGATGAAGTCTGCGTCTATGAACACTAGCTTATCGTAATCTGTTACTTGCCACACACGTAGCTTACTGTAGTTCCACTCATTGTAAGAACCTTTCTTGGAGAAAGGGCTACGGATTCTCTCTACTAACCTTAGTTTCCAGCCGGCTAGGCTTAGACCTTTGCGAGACGCGTTGGTTATGGAGTCGTCGTGGAGAAGTATCATGTCCTGCGTTGATCCAGATTGCCTTATGCTTTGTGCTAAGGCTATTGCCCCGCATACGTAGACCTCCGATGAGTGAAGCAATGTTACGTAAGCGACACGTTGGGCAACGAATGGTGATAATGTGGTTGTTGATGTGAGACTTTCGTTCTTTTGCTGTCTCCATGCTTCTTGGTCTTTACCAAGTAATCAGAATACTAATTAGGGAAATGTATGATATATATTTAGATGAAAAGCAAATACAGTAGAGTAAAAGGAAGAGGGGAAGCTTCACCTAGTTGAGTAACCGGCGGTGCAATCTGACACGAACCAACAGGCATGAGAAGCTTTTGCTTCAGCTTTCTTAGATTAGGCCTGTACACCCAATATTCACCCACGCGCCTCACGCGCTCATCACATCGAAATATCTCATGCATGGGCCCACAAGACCCGATGAAGACTACGTACACCGTCCGGTCAACGTTCCTCCGCCCACTCTCCACCGCCAGATTCGCTGCCGCCAGGTTCACCTGCAGCCGGAAAACGTCTCTCAGCCCTCTATTCTCCGAAAACCCATCGCAAGGCACTTTAACAACGACGACGTCCACGTCAGAATCAGTACCCTCCACCCGAGGGAGAGGGACCTCTGGACAACTTGGCGTGTGCCACGTGTGATCCTCGTCGATCCACACCGGGAACAAACTCTTCCACGTCAGATTATTGGGAAGAGGATCGAGCGGCACGTGGACATTCTCCAGGATCGACGTCCCGCTTGCCTCGTAGCTCTCTCGCTCATTCTCTGCGATATTGAGGAGACCCACTCGGATCTTTTTCTGATCCGGAAGATAGTTCCTGATGAGTCGGAGCCATCTCGGGTTCCTGATAACTGGTGGCGGCAAAGAATAACGAATCTCAATTACCAAGGGAGAACTGATCATGGGATTGAGTAGAAACAGAGGTTTATACATTAAAACCAAACCCAAAAACGACAACGAGATTAGTATTAGATAAAACATGAATATTCTCTTGCTCGAATTATTGTTTTTTGCCCCCATTTTCTCCCTACCCTCTCTTTGCTCTTAGCTTTACTGCCGATCTCTATAAATCTACATACATATATGAAGACAGGAAAACAAGATATGTACACGTCTATGTGCGAATTCGTGGATGTGCGATTGTGAGCACGAGGCTTGAGAATTACGATGCATGGACGCACGTTGGCGTAGAAGTCAATTGGTTAGGTGAGTCTACGAACTTACATGCGCAAGTTAGGCGCGTGTGTATTAAGAGGATAGTTTTAGCCTTATTTTGGAATAATTAATTAAAATGGTGGCCAAGCTTGTCACTGTTTTCTTCGTTATTCAGGGACATTCTTTTTTATAAATACCAATCATACATTGTCGTTAATTTGTCGCACATCTTTTATTATATTTTTCTTAAGTCGCCGTTATATTTTAAGCTTTTTAGTTTGATAATTTGCTTTTTAATAACTAAGTTTGTTGGGTTTGTGAATATGTCGTTATTCGTTAAGTAGACCGAATAATTAGAGCCCCATTTTTAGTTATTTATTTGCTAACTAGTTACAACTTGCAATACGTTTTTGGGGATACATCACTATCGACGAATGGTTTGATGACACGTACCAGCCATGCTGACGCGGGAGAATATGCAATGGAGTGGAGATCGAGTTAAGATGCAAAGTTACAAACAGTGAACTGTGACCAGACCTAACCATTTCGGTTAACTAAATCACCGGGAAACAGAACCTTCACTGGCTGTTTTGGTCAATTCTATATTTTTCGTATTTCATCAGACAGAAACAGATCATCGAAATCCAATAAACAGAAACCAAATTAAAATATGCTCAAACATGCATTTGATGTGAAAGTCAAATGAATTTCGAAAGGGAATCCACCAGACTGAGAAGAAAACCGTCTGAGCCATGCTTAGCCACCAAGGATACCGATACCGGAAGATTTTCGTGTAGCCCCAATGGTATGCTGACCTGTCAGGAAAAATAACCGGACAATCAGACCGGTTCTTCACCGGCTCCATAAGAAAGACATTGACGTTTTCGTTACCTGACAGAATCCTGAGACGCCGGCGATTGACAACAAGCTGAAGGCTCTGCTCCGGAAAGATTCGAGTGCAGCCACATCAGCCTGAAGATGCGGTGGAGGACCTGGCACCGTCGGAATCACCAGTACACCCTTCTCCTGCAAAAGCATTTCGACATTCAAATTAATACATCTCCACCTGTAGGTATGTGCAATCCTGTTTAACCAATTCGAACCGAAGTAAAACCGCATTAAAACCGATCCGAAACAGGAAGAAGTTTGTACCCCGAGCAAAGTTGAAAGAGCCGTTAAAAGTTCGGTTTTCACGGACCGGCTAAGATCGATCTTCTCGTCGGACGTCCTCATAGCTTCATCAATTCGTGATGATATCCCAGGACCAAACTCTGGCTTCACCGACGAGATCCATTCACCGTGGTTTATCTTGAATTCGTACCTAAACTTTGGTTATGTATATACTATTAGAAAATCGATTTTGCATAAATGAGAAAAAAAATGTTTTTACCTCTGTAACAATCTCATTGAACTCGATAGAGCCATGAGAGACGGAATGCAGAACTCTTGTTGTGTCGCGACATCGTCACTTGTCATGAAATGCTTCAGGCTCAGAACATTCTCTTCAATGTAGTTTCCAAGATTCACATTCTTTTTAACAGTGTTGCCTTGACACATAACAAGATCATTAAGGAAAATTTCTCTAACGGAACAAAAGGCTGTTAGTTCTTATAATGAACGCATCTTACCTCCAAATGATTTTTCCAAGGATCGAACCAGCGGCTGCACCAACAGCTCACATGGTACACTACACAGCTTGAAGCAGTCATCTGCGATTATCAATGGACTTGGTTCGACGGGTTTCAAGTGAGGCTGCTGCAGGAGAACGGACCCTACCCTTTTCAAAGTGGCTGTGTCCCGAGCAAACCATCCTAGAGACAAATGTTGGAACCATCAGTCTCAAAGACTCGGTTTTTAACCATAACATATCGTTTTGTAGTCGTCGTTACCAACTGTGTCGAAGCTCTGAGCCATTGGAGTAACTCCGGCAGTGGAAACAGCTCCATGTGATGGCCGGAAACCGAAAATTCCACAGTAAGATGCCGGAACTCGTACACTCCCTCCGGTATCAGTTCCTGTTTGATAGTTAAAACAGAAGATTTAGATAACAAGTAGAAAGAAATGAACATATATGCCTTGAATCTAACGGGTTTAGTGACCAAAGTTAGCTGTTGGGGATATTTAGAAAACGAAGCAGAACATCACCGATGGAGAAATCCACAAGACTTGCAGCTACAGCTACAGCTGAGCCACTTGAAGATCCGCCAGGGACTCTATCGGAAGCAATTGGGTTTATCGGAGTCCCGTAGTGCGCGTTTTCTCCGTTTATACTGCAAAGTAAGCAGCAATTCACGATCAAGAAATGTAACAAACCTAGTCATATTTCAGCTCTAGCCATTCTTGGTTTTTTCATTGTCAAAGGCCTAAACTCTGTTTAAAAGGAAGTGATGAAATAGCTGGAACTGAAGAATCAGTAAGACCTGTAAGCCATTTCGTCCATAATGGTAATACCCAAAGAGGTGGCACCAGCTTCTAAGAGGGATGAAACTGCTGGAGCTGTGGAAGTAGCTGCGGAATGTGTCCTTAACCAATCTGGGTTACCAAAACCGGATACGCGTCCTTCCACATCAAATCTGATTAAACCAAAACAAGCTCAAAGTTTGAAGAAGTAACTAACAGATTTGCAGTGACTCAAAATTAATCTGTAGAGAGAGGAGCAGTTTTTAATTATATGGGGTATGATCGTACATGTCTTTGATGGCAAAAGTAAGACCCTGTAGAGAAGGAGACGAGGAAGAAGACGTCGGAGAGATTGTAGATTTCTCAATGAAAGCTCCATAATCATTGCTCGTCGCCATTGCTGCAGCTTCTGTTGTCAGTCGTATTGGCAAGGTAAAATGATGACCAAGTAAACTTCTTGTAGATAAAGCTACCAATATCATCTACTATTTTTGTCTTCTTCTTTATAATTTTGTCACTATCTTTATTAAAAAGAAAATATGATCTCCAAACTCTTTAACATATATTGTTATTATGTAGTTAATATTTTGTTATTTCGGTCACAACAAAACGATCCTATCAACTAACAGAGAGAGAGAGATGTTGGAGAAACAAACACTTCTTCTCCATGCTTACCATTACGCTCAACGAATCTGTGTCCTGTGACTTAGACAGAGCTCAGGTTCAGTTCTCATACTGCTTCTTCACTACGCCCTCAAGAACACCGTCTGACCCAAAATTACCAACGAATTCCTCTGTGCTGACCCAACCCGGAAGCTGGAATGAGATGGTGAAGTGACCTGGAGGGCACAAGTTCTGTGTTAGCATCTCGAAGACCTGTGAGTTTCTGCACACCGTCTTCTCTCCCGTCGTTGTTGCTCCTTTTATCACAATCTTCCCGTCCCTCTCAACCTCACATGTGAATTCCTCTGTACGTTGGACATCAACAATTCAGATTCACAAAAAAAAAACAAGACATCTCTTCCTATCCTTTAGAGTAAGAGATGAGCATAGATATGGAATGATATAGGAGACTTACTTTCATCTCTTGAAACACCAGGCAGCGAAACACGAAAATAGTAGGAGTCATCAGACTCAGCGACATCCAGTAAACCAATGGTGGGTCCGATTTTCCCCAAAGCGGCACTTCCGGTGAGGGCAACTCCGGTTTTGATTAGAGCAGCGAGGTCGTTAAACTCTTGACTTGATTCAGCAGGCAGGAATATCATGGCGGGGCTTACTTTTTCCGCATCTTCGTCTGATTTGTTTGCTGACACGGATGATGCATAATGCAAGCTTGAGGGACCGAGGTAAGGCACACTGTTTAATGGAGCCACCGGAAGAACGGGATGTGGCTGGTTCTCTCTGTTTTCGTGAAACCCGTTGTTGCCTATCTTCTCGCTCTGAGCACTTGAAGACCTGAACAAATGTAAAAAAAAGGCCGTCTTTAGATTCGATAAACAGCTACATTTTGAAACCACAACGACTATCATCTAGGCTTTGAAATAATGGTGACCATTAGCTTTGACAAAAGAGCTAGATTAAGACCGTATCAGAGCTCTTTTGTGAAACTTATCGCTGGAATGTTTTGATCAGGCAATAAAGAAACCACTTCATCGTATCGAACACAAGCAGTGTGGTTTGTTCATAGTTTCGATGGCCCCAAATTATGCCATTGGAGGGCAAACAATGTGAAGTTTGTGAACAAGGGTTTTGCCAATAAATGGACTTTGCACAAAATAACTCTTTTGGTTAATCAAACCTTTTATTTGTTCGCATTGAAATTTCGGACCCAACAAAACCAGAAAAACTCCTAACTTATCAAAGCGCTGACCTTTTTCGGAAATTCAACTCAAGCAAGTAAATTTCCACAATCAATCATCCGAATCGTTATGATGCAAGCAAAAACCTAAGAGATTACATGTATATAATATAATAAATAGATATGAAGAGATATTGTGATGTAAGTAATAAGAGTAGCAATTAGCAAAACCTCATTGAAGGCGACGTCAACGAATCACCGGCTGTTTCGGCCACCAGAAATTTCCGACGAGTCTTCCAAGGCTTTGTTTCCTGTGAGACCAGAAGAAAGACCGTCGAAGAAACACGTATTTAGTGAAAGACACGTGGTCCAATAAACATAGAGAGTCATCGTCAGTACCATATCGAAAATTCCCGATTTGCCCCCACTGGTTTGCCAAGTGTTTAGGGGGTTTGTTATCGCATTTGCTAATTAAGGGTTCATTGTGGAAGTGAATAAAGTTTTGAGGTTTTAATTGGAAAGGGAAGCAATATTGATATTTTTTTTAGTCAAAGGATATAAACCAAGAATGGTCTACGGAAGGATTATCTGGGATTTATTTTTACAAAGAAAAACTTGATATTTTGTAAAGTCTTACTTTTAAAACACAAAAAAAAAGCAAAAGTTGAGGGAGACTAAACCCACGTGGAAGATCTTCTTTCTTCTCAAAACTTCTGCAGCTTTCTATCTAACACCTGTTTCTTTTCTTTTTATGTCATGTTAAATTACCATTTACTCTCCAAGAATCAGATTCGGATGATCACACACACAGCTCGAAATTGTTTCAAAATATCCAACGGTTCCGCTGACATGTTCGAAACGAAATACTTTTTTCATGGTTTATATTTGATGTGACGAAGCACGATTAAAGATAGACAATAAACATTCAAATTATAAAAAAAAAAACTTGTCAAGCACACTTGTTCCTTACAGTTTATACATTCTTACGGTTCATCCCTAAATTTCTCCCTAACAAAGGATGAAATGGACATTAACACTTACATTCTTCTTCTACAACATCGAATTGAAAGTCTGATATGTTCTTTTCATCTTCTTCTCAAAAGTCTCCTCCGTTCTCCTGGACGAGACCAGAACTCTGCCAAACACGAAAAGACCATCACCTATTAAGCCTGAAAAATGGACTACCACTATATGTTAAGCCCAAAAAAAACTTGGAAAACTCACAGTTTCTTAGGGCAAAGCTAATTCTCCGGGTCAGGTTGGTCAGGGCCCTGTTGCTGCCACATCGGTTGACCCATATAGGGATTAGGTGGGTATGCACCGCCCGGGTTACCCATAACCATTCCCGGGTTTCCTATTGGAGCAGTTCCCGCAGGCAAGTATCCATAGGGGTAACCAGCAGCAGCAGCCTCAGGGACGGTTCCTCTCGGTATGCTTCCCAAGACCTCGTCCCTGAGATCCTCCCGGGGAACGATATCCACGAGGAAATCAAAGATGTCGGTTCTAGTCACAGCAGCGGCTATGTCGTTCTTCTGCAGCGTCCTCCTCTTGTTCTCCTCCGTGTGGTTCCACGACCTGAGCGTCAGCTCCAGTATGAACATCTCGCAGGCCCTTGCGAACACGACAGGCGCCTCCGCCGAGATCATACGGACATCCTCGTCCGCTTTCATGATTTTCTTGATCCTCGCTAGCGGAAGGCTGTGGTTCTTGAAGTCGGTTGTTTTCTCAATCTCTTTGAACTGGTTCTCCCAGAAGGCTTGAAGCTGCTGAGCCAGCTGCTGCTGCTGCTGCTGCTGATGGATCTGGTGGAACGCCAGCTGTCCCGGTGGTGCTGCGGGGCCCACGCTCCCGGCGACGCTGGTTGTCATCGGATTGGTTTGGTATGGGTTTGTGCCGTAGTTCATGGCTCCGGACTGTCCATGCTCTTGTTGATCCATTCTCTACCAGAATAAAGACAAATCACTTTGGATGGTTTAAAAGCATTTCCTATAAACATCTGACCAGAATTTTAGAAAAAAATCCTAAGGAGATAAGGTTGCCAACAAATAATCAAAGATGGTAATCAAGAATCACTGGAACTTGCTTATATAATATGGTTTCATCAATATTTCTAAATCAAATCAAGAAGATCTAAACAGTAATAAGTATGAAAATTGAGTTTATATAAATTCAAACCAATCTATACTTTATTTGGAACTCATAAATTTCATTTCCTTAAAGATAGACAGAGCATGATCTTCTAATCCCAGAACAAATAGAAACGTCCCTACAACACCATTTCTATTGTTTTATCATGTGGATTCACCATGAATTTCACAAAATATAGGTAAGAACAGGTCAGGAAACAAAAACACACACAAATAAACCAAATTAGGCAAAGTAAAGCGGAAATTTCGGCAAACGAGAGTGACCTTGGAGTTGGTTTTGAAAGGAGAATCTGAAGTTGATGTGAAAGAGAAGAGTTGGATTTGAGGAAGACAGTGGTTGATCCTCTTGGTGGGCAGAGTTTTAAGATCTGGTTTTATCTTAATTTGTTGTGATTTATTAGGGTTTTGCTTTCCCCTTTTTCGACTTTAACAATGTGGAAATAGAAGACAAAGAGAGTAAGTGGAAGCTTTAAAAGATGGGTGTCGTGTCAAACGCTGGGCTTATGTCAAGATTCTTGTATTGTTGTCAGATGATGTTTTGTTTTGTAAATAAATTGTTATTTCTTTCAGTCAATTAGCAGTTACATACTGTAATAAAGAATGCAGAAATAAAACAGCTCTTTTCTTTTCGTCACGAATAGTTAAAATCTTATTTTTTAATAGGAAATAGCAAAACTGAGCCAAATAAAGAAGGAAATAGCAAAAAGAGTCTCGAAAGTGACGAAAATGTTCTGGGTTGTGTTAATAGTTAATTTTACAAATTGTCTGTATAATTAGCGTCAAGTGGTACACTTATTCCAAAGCCAACACAAATGATGATGCGTACAAGTCTCAATGTAAGCCAAAATCTGGATTTGATGTGGACTGTGAAAAGGAAATTTTGGTGTCATGGTGATGGAATAATCTTATAAATCTAGGAGTATATCTTTTGTGACCCAATAAACATAAATGGGGGTTCGCTTTCTGGATTATGAGTTCAAGTGGATCAATGCATTATCATAGCACATGCAATCTGATATTTTTAAAGTGTGTTTTTTTAGGTTAAGAAGTTCACAAGAAAGGCAATTTGTAAACACAATTTTTCAAGTAGTGAGCAAATCACATGGAAACGAACCAGAACCGAATTGTTCTGCTCTAATACCACATTTTAGAATCGTGAACGGAAGCTATTTCTCATTAATATCAAAAGAATACAAATATGTGGTTTATACATACATATTTCATTCAGGTGAACTAAACCAGTATAATCAATAGAAATCAGGAATCCAAAATCTGCTCTTCACATGTATATTTTACCATTCTGCACATACCTATGAAACTTTCCTAATCGGCCTCACAGACGATCACAAGAACTCAAAATTTCGCCAATTCTCTTCTTCCAGCAACGAAACATTCCTCAACACTGAAACTCTGGTTGGCCCAAGATTATTCAATGCGCAGACTTTCAGAATATGATCAGGTTGAGAATGTGGCGATGATAAGACTAACAAACGTGAAAACAACATAGAGTCCTACAAGACAGATCCCCCATAGTCTCGGAACTCGGAATCTAGACCAGGTTATAACCAACAGAGATCCCATTAGACTAAGCAACAAGAATACGAAAGCGATCACGATACCTACATGGAAGCCAAGCTCGTAAGCGTTCGGATACACATTAGCTGTCTGCATCACCAAGGCCGTTCCAAGTCCAACAAGCATATTAAACATCGGACCCGCAAAGCAACCGGCCATAGCCATCGCTGGTCGACCCGCCTTTGCAACTGCCACGTCAGCAACAAGGTCACCGACCGAGTTTCCCCAGGCAAGAACGGTTAGTCCTAGGATCGCCGGAGGCAGTTTAAGGAGCGTTCCAAGTGCAGCCAAGCAGCTGAGGAGCTCACCAGCTATTGTCGATATCCAGAAAACACTCATTACGAAAGCTACAACGATGACAGGCATTTGCTCGGTTTTGGGAGGTTGTTTTTCGATTGTGAAGTGAAGGAAAGCAAGGGAAGACGTCATGAAGAGGACGACAAGCCAAAGTGGGAGATGGGTGTTTGGAAAAAGGAATGAGATCGGGTGATCTAGTGGTACAAAGGAGTTGCAAGTATATAAAAGGGCGAGAGGGCAGAAAACAATGTTTGCAGATCGATAAAACCTAGACCACTCAGAAGGAGAAGTTTTTGGGATTGTAAGCATCAAGAGAACTGATACAGGAGTTTCCCACATCCTCGAGATCTGCAATCACAAGCAGCGAAAGCAAAATAAGACCAACCACATCCTAGAGAGACTTCATCAACGATTCTCAACCTAAACTAAAATCCAGAATACCCCAAAACTCATTTGACAGCCTAAGCTACTTACAAGGCTCATTCACTAGACTAACAACAAGACTTACTCAAAGCCTTTGCACACATAACTAAATTCAGCAGCAATATCAGAATTTAACAGTTGGTGCGGAAGAGAAGATGCTACTATACAATTCCAGCAATATGATCAACAAAACAAAGCGCAGAGGTGAGTGAAAGAAGAGCTTTACCGTCCCATAAAGCCGAGAAATTCCGGAAAAGCGATGTTCTTTCTCTGCTTTATAACTCTCAAGAGGAACTCCGATCTCGCAATCGTTAACTCTCAACAAGTCTTTCTCTTCCTCACTGATGATTTTCCCTTTTTCAACGTTGGTCCCAAAATCCATCCAGAAGACGAAGCCAACGAAGAAGATGTAAAAGCCCACGAATCCTATTGCTTGCCACACGAATATCTCGCCACTCAAGTACACATAGAACAAGAAGGAGGCAGCTATCAGGTAGAAGAGCACATCCCTGACGAAGGAAGCGGCGTCCACCGGGAACGGCGCCGCGTAGATGGCGACAAATCCGACGACGAAGGCCGAGACGAAAGTTCCGGCGGATAGGATTGCTCCGAATCCGGTTCGGTACTGACCACCACGCAAGGCGGCGACGGAGGCAAATACGTCCGGTGCGCCGTTACCAAGGGCCAAGAGAGTCACTGCCGCCATGCTGGGAGACAGATTGAGGCGATCGGCGAGCTTGGTGGTGACGGTGGAGAAGTGGGTCTGGGCGGTTTTGATGAGTATGTAAAAGTGTAGAAGGATGAGGAGAGACAGGACTGGGATCGAGAGGAATAGGTTTTCGTTGAAGATGCAGAAATGGAGGGAGAAGTAGTTGATGACGCCATTATCGTGGGATCTCGCGTAGAGACAAGAGGATTCGGAATCAGCGATCGAGGTGTGATTCAGGCTGGGGTCTCCGAGGAGAGAACGATTCGGAGATACAGGGAAACGCGAAGAGTGATCCGGGAAAGTGGGAGTGGTAGTAGTGAGGAAGAAGAAGAGGAGAATGGAGATTAGGGCTAAACACAAAGCTGAGTTTCCAATGGTAGATGAAGAAATCAATTCCATGCCATTCAGGTACCAAGTCGGAGAAAGTTGAACCAAGTTTGAAAATCTGGAAATTAGTATTCGATTGCTACTTTTTATCAAAACATAGCAATGATTCGATGAGATCTGAATGCTCAACAAAGTTTTTCGTTTTTCGTTTTTCTTTTAAATGTAGAAAAGATATAAGTGTAGTTGTTAAAGCAATATTCTGTGTTGAAAATTGACTCCACTAGATTTCACACCTAGCATCTTCATAATCGTCATTCAAAAAAATTATAACAAATGGGGGCATTCCGAGAATTGAACTCGGGACCTCTCGCACCCTAAGCGAGAATCATACCACTAGACCAAATGCCCAATTGTTGACGGTCTTTGCATTTATAATTTTTTCTCGTACTCTTTGACCCACCTACTCAAACACATCTGCTCTGCTTTGCTATAACCAGCTAACCACAATCGGTTCAACATTTGGTTTAAACTTTTAGAGAATTCGTATATACTTGGTGGAAAAATAACTGGGAACCAAATGTTAAAAGTACAGCTTTATTTTATTTATTACTCCCATTTAGATCTACTTATTGTTCTCATACCAACAAATTCGAACTTGAACCAACGGGATACTAGTAAAAATCAACCAACAAATTCAATGAGATATATAATTGCAAATGTACATATACAATAATCAGCATCAGTCTTCATCATCAGTCTTCATCATCAGTCTCATCTAACAAATCAAAATACTCATCAAGGTGCAATGGACAACAATCGTTCGATGTATCACGAGAACCATCAACACGACCCATTTGATCATCGATCATATTTTTAGACATGCCCCAAGCCAACATCTCTTCTTCAGAGTGGTGTATCCCGAAAGTGTACTCTCCACTCGCACCTAACTCCATCACTCTGAACTCGCAGTTCCCAAAGTTGTTCAGCCGCTCGAACTCTTCCACCGTCCACTTGAACCATTTCATTAGAAACACCCGAGAGGTCAGCCCGTGTGACACGATCACTAGGTTTAGCTCACTCGATGGATCCACTTGATGCCTGTTCATGTCCACGTCTCTCCATAATGACTCGAGGAAACCTTTCCAATGAGAATATATACATTATAGAGATATTAATCGATGTTACGTAACATTCATGAGAAATGAGAGTGAAACACTGAATGTGTTACTAGAGAATATGATTACTTTTTATTTCATCATAGAAAACCAGTAAACTAGGAACTAGGAGGTTCGTGTTATTTTCAACAAACTCGAAAACCAAAGTCAAAAATGTCGAAAGTAGACCCGGGAAAGCTATCATTTAATGCAAACTTTATATAAAAGAATATTCAAATTTTACTTGAACTATCCGTAATTATCCAGAAAACAAACAAAACCCGAATCTCGTGTAGTGATTTTATTATTTGAATTATCCTTACCTGAATTTTCTTATTTAAAAATTTACATTTCGAATATCTAGTTTAGGGCCATCTGTATATATTCGCATGTCATCTGAATAAAAACACCGGTTAAAGAGAAAGAAAGAGACAAGAGACTTACTCGAAACCCGATCGTAGACGTCGGAGGCAGATTCACCCTCGGGGAAACGATAAAAGAATCGTCCGAACCGTTCCCTCGTCTCCTTGACAACTCTCATCCTCTCTTCCACCTGAAAGTTTCCGAAATCTTGTTCTCTGATCCTACACTCTTCCCTCACTCCTATCACGCGCCTCCTCGAGAACCCTCTCCCCACTTCCCTCAATGTTGCCCTCGTTCTCTCGTACGGCGACACGTAGAAGTACACGCGCCAGTTCTCTCCGCACGCGCCGTCGCTGCAAGCTGATATAAGGGCTCTCATCTTCCTCCCGGCCTCACGCGCCTGCGCTCGTCCTTCTTCCGTCAGAGGGATCTTGTGGTCTGGAGTGGTCGCGTAAGCTCCTTGGTCGATGTTCCCGGCGGACTCGCCGTGGCGCATGAGTATGATGCGTTTCGGAAGCATCTTCTTGTCGTTCACCATTTTTCTCTCCATCTTTGTCGTTTCAGATAGTTATAGGTTATAGGATTTTGGTTTTATAGTGGAGAGAGAGAGAGAGAGAGAGAGATAGAGATGTGATCGATGATTGTTATTATGTCGCTTGTCAAAATTGAGTGCCCACCATATGAGACCACGTTCTCATGAAGCCGAACGACTACTTTTATGATCCCACTCCGTTTCCCACTGAGGCAGGGGTTTTCGAAGGCTCAACTTAACTCATTTTATTGTTAATATATGCTTCATAATTTTTGTTGGTAATTTGTAGGTACAATGGGAAAATAGGTTAGAAATTTATTTGGCAAAAGTCATTGTTTTTGCATGATTTCATATGCAGAATTGTGTTTAAGACGCAATATCGTTAATTTCCATATTGCCAATCAAAGCTGATATTTGTTTTTTATTATCATTTTCATTTATTTATGAGTCGCCTAAACGTGGGTTTTTTTATAAAAAAAAAACTCTCGTTAATTTTTTTTAATATAAGTCTATAATCAGTCAAATTAAAATGACGGTTATTGTAACAGTTAAATAATCAAATTTTAGAAGGTTGATTAACGTCGTTTGAGACATCATTTTAGGTGTTTGCGTATACGTTGATCCAATTAATGTTCATTTGTACAAGAATATGTATAGAGCGCTAGTTCATAATTCGTACTAGAATTTGGCTGTTTCATCTTTTACTAGTTAACTTGATCATCACCGTGTGAAACACAACTATTTTTTCCTCGCATATATAATTAACAAAAAAAACATACATTTTTTCCCAACCAGGAGGAAATATACAAATTTACTGTTGCCATTTCCCCATCCAAAATTCGATCCATACACAAATCTCATTCAAACTCACAACAATTACAATAATCGATTTTTCTAGTGTCTCAATTACAAAAATCGATTGTTATGATCATTTAACCCAAAACGATTTTACTGTACAGAGTTGGAGAGCAATGCTTGTATTTCTTCAAGTGATCGGCCTTTTGTCTCCGGTACCAAAAAGTATATAAATACAATCGATGAGGCGGAGACCATTGAGAAGATGAAAAACATTCCTTGAAAATACAAATCAACGAGAGACAATCAGTCACCCATTAACAAAATCATGGAGTATATAAAGTAAATAACCGTATAATATATAAAGTAAAAACAGTATATAAGTATTTACCTGATGCATTCCATTGTAGCATGAAGTTGAAAGTATAAGTGACAACCCAACCAAAGAACCAATTAGTTACGGTAACTAAGGTTCCAGCTGACACTTTCACATTCATAGGAAATATCTGCGAACAGAAAGATAATACTTAGAGGATGAAAGAAGTTACAAACCACACTATGTTGAAGAAACAAATTTTTAATTAAAACAAAAAAACATGAAACTTAAATGATCGAATTGTACCTCAGCCATTATAATCCATGGTAGTCCTCCCATTCCCATCGCAAATGACACAATGTGACCCTGTATATTTCACAAACCATAGACTAAACCTGATCAGCGATGAAAGAAGCTAATCCAAAAAAATTACAAGTTGTAACAAATAACAGTCGTTTAAAATTTTAAGGTTATTACCAATACGCCAATGCAAGTGAAGATAGGAGTGAGATCTGGGAGAATTCCAAATGACTGCTCCACATTTCACAAAATTTTGAAGACAATAATTAGCTAAAAGGTTGCATACTTATTATATTCACAATGTTGTTAAAAAAAATATTAGACTTAAAGTCACCTGGAAACCATAGGAAACACTTAATAGCAAAGCACTTAAGCCCATCGCAGCACAAGAAGCCTGCTCAAAATTATATATTAATAATTTTTTGTTAATGTTTTGGTAGGATGTTGAAAATTCTTACTTATCAATAATTAATTAAAAATATATATTTTGTAAGAGTAGATCTAACCATTAGGAGCGTTCTCCTCCCCAATTTGTCGACTATAATTGTTCCCAACATTGCTTTCGGAACCTTAAAAATAATCGAACAATGAATTCATTTTTCATAATGGATTTTTTTAGTATTTTATAAGTAGATGAGTCGTTTTGCTCATGAAAACTTACCATGATCGTGGCTATTACCGATGTGCCAATAGCACTTGGAAATCCTGAAAATATATTTTTCAAAAAATTGTTAAAAAGAATATAAGTTTTTGAACTATTTACACATGAAATGTTTTTTTTATAATGTCTATTAAAGTGTATATATTTGTAAATTCAGTTACCTCCTTTTTGGAAGAGGGTACTGGCATAATAGGTCATACCGGAGCTCCCACTCAGTTGTTGCAAAAACATTAAACCGACTCCGATCTGTATACGAATATACATATATGGTTCAGATGCAATATAATTATTATGTTCTTTAAAAGAAAAATTGAAAACAGTGACATTTCATTAGAAACTAATGTATTTTTTTTAGTTCAAATAGTATATGACATATATACTTACAATTAACGGGTATGCATATCGTCTCTGAAACAACTCAGTCATTCCAGTTTCACCATCTAGCTCTGACATTTCTATGGTATCCTGCAAAAGAAAAAATCTTAAAACCAAGATTATTTAACTGCATTTTTTTTATATATAAAAAAAGAGAATGGAAATTTCATACTTTAATTGTGTTTGCTTCACGAGAAATGTCGGCGTCAGGTCCTCTAAGGCGTTGCAACGCAGTTCGACATTCTTTATCGCGACCTTTTTTGGCCTATCATAAATATATATGTATCATGATATTAAGAAAATGAAACATATATATATATATTTTTTTTCACTCTTCAAACCAATTTTCAGATAATTGGTTATATTCATAGAAACCAAAACCATATACATAAACTTACCAGCCATCTTGGGGACTCGGGAATGAAAAATAAGCAAAAAACATGGAGCACACATGGCACGAGCCCTGGAAACATACAAACATAATGTTAAATTAAGCCGGTTTGAATTATATCTATCAATCTTTTTAACTTTTAGACATGACATACCGACTATTGCTAATAATCGCCATGGAACAAAATTGCCAATGATGAAGAAGAGTGCAATGCCGCAATTTTGCATCAGCTGTTATACCAAAAAAATGTCTGTTATTGTTCCAAATATAACGCTGGACCAAATCAGGTTGGACCGGTTAATTAAACTGGTTAGAAATTAAAAGCGTTCCCTTCAAATAAATCGAATTTACGTACTTGATTGGCGAACACAAATGATCCACGGACATGTTTTGGTGCAATTTCGGCTATATAGACTGGAATCTACATGAATCACAAAACCTTTGTATTAGTAATTCATCACTTTGAAGTATTTAAATTTGTCATTTGTGTGGTGAAAATGAATTTAGAAATAACAAGAATTACCACGTAGCTAAATAAACCAACGCCGATTCCAAGTAACAATCTTCCACAGTCCAGCCACAACGCGTTCTTCAAAATATTAATATAAAAAAATTAGTTTATAAAACGCAAAAATAAAGAATGAAGATAAAATGATCTTTAAAAAAAAAATAAACAAAGACAAACAACAAGTAGAAGAAGATAAAGAACAAACCTGAGCCAATGCTACGGCAAGCCAACCTGTAACGCAGAAGGCTTCGCAAAACAACATCGTCTGTGAAAAGAGTGAAAAAAAAAAGTAGGTAAAAACCGGTTCGGTAGTTGATAACCGGTCAAACCAAACCATGAGACAAATCAAAACCGAAACTGTATATCTAACTTACTCTCTTTCTTCCCAAGACATCGGCGACTTTACCGCTGAATATTGCACCTATCAGGCCTCCCAAAGTCAGAATCGACCCGAACATTGAGTACTGCATGATCAATAAATATGGTCAAATTAGAAGTCAAAACTTTAAGAATAACTTCAAACAATTAGAAATCCTGAGCAATAACATAAGTATTTATTGATCGTTACTTCTGCAACTGAGAGAGCTAAATCTTTGGTAATCCCTGATTGCGCACCCGATGAAAAACCCGCCTACAAAACCGATACATCATCCACATCAATTAAGCTGGTTCGGAGCAAAACCGAGCCTCTGGAAGACCTTCCATTGAAAACCGGATGGTTTATAGTTAAACCGGGTAAGAACCGAATAAAAAACCGAGATCGAATGGAAAAGAAGACTCACGCCACAACCGGTGCAGAAGGAGCCAGAGACGGCGACAAAGGTGCTGAGGAAAACAGAGACGGTAACACGACATTCACTATCGTCGTTTAGGGCTTTCTTAGAAACTTCTCTCGGGGATTTCCTGGATAATCCGGTTTCTAGAAAAGCGTCTTCGTTTGGGAACTTTCTCTCTCTTATGCTTAAGCTCTTCCTCAGTAGCCCTTTCTCCATGCTCTTTTGTCTCTCCATTCCAAAAGTATTCCTTCTCTGCTTTTTTTTTTTTTTTTTTTTGCTCTTTGGTAGGCTATTACGAGAAAAGCTGATATTAAAGAAATAAATACAAGAAAAAGTAAAGAGTTGTGAAGACTTGGAAGTTTCTTGAGAGGTTCTTATGCAAATTGAGAGAGGATTTGGATTTTTGTCTACTCGAAACAAGTGGATATTTTATACCACGTCCTTCAATGATTTTTCGATAGTTTTCTTTTTGGCTTAACTTTTTAATATTCAGTAGACTTGGTCGTACTCTTGGGCGATAAAACTATGGTAGCTTATTGTATTTTTATATAGTTGCATTTTATTAATATTATTGGAAATTTGGAATAGGTCGTCCCTCAGGTAATTGTTTTTCTAATATGAGAAGGCGGTTCAAAAGCAATATCTATTTGTTTTTAAAATCTTAATTTTAGTTCATTGGATGGTGGTAATTTTTTTTGTTTTGTTTAGATTCAGGTCATCGACATTGACTTGACTATGGGTTTGATTTTTATTTTTCTATGAATGTTTTTGCTTATACTTTCAAAACTATGTTTGTACAGTGATAGTTTTAATTAATGTTTCTATCTATATATCTATGCATGGCTATATATTCATATCACAATGTAAATTGTTTAATGGGAAATTGCTAACATTTTTTTGTTGAACATTGGAATCACTATAGTGCCCAAGAGAAAGAAAGAAATCTATCCGTCGTTATCAGTTATCAAAGAGTTGAAAAGTCTTTGCAACTTTTGTTTTCCTGGTCGACCAGCCTTTGTTTTGGATTTTTAATTCAAATATTTGACTATTCTCTACGTACAGACAAGGAGCCACAGCCATGAAGCTGATCCATTTTTACTACTCTAAATGAATTTTAAATTGATCAAAATCTCGACAAATTTGACTGATCTATATATATATATATATATATACTTATATACATACATATATATATATATAACAAAAAAAAATTATAGTCGCTATATGGGGCCATAAATAAATAAGTTGAAAGGAAGCTTCATGTTTGGCTACATGAACGAATACATGTCTTTTTCCTCCTTTTTCACTCGAGAGAAAGTGAGAGCGAAAAACTTTGTCCTGGACTTCATTTTTCTAAAGGCAGAAACGTATCTCTAAAAGAGAATCAGACAAGCTGTTTTGTAATGAAAATAGCAATATTGTATCATATCCCGAACCCGAATCATAAAATATTTATACATGCATATCAGCATATATAGTTACGTCCAGTGATCATATTGTTTAGGTTCTTATTGGATGATATAAGGTATAAACGTTAAAAAAAAAAAATAAGAGTTATTAATTAAGGTCCATGCTAAAATTTGAGAAACGAATTCAGAAATTACCAAATGCCACGCGCCGTTTGCAGAACCCAAAAAAAAAAGCTGTTTAAAAAGAAAAAAAAAACCCAAAAGGCCCCTCAACTAAGCGGACGATAAATCAAGATAGGCCCAATATTCAATTAGGGTCATTGGGCGATAACAAGAACCTGCTTCAATAATGTATGTAGGTTTAATTTAAGTCAATGTTTATTTCTTTGTAGCATTGACATTTCAAATATAACACGTCGTCACACAAGAAGGGATTAAAAATCACATAAAAATTGGAATTTTTGAAACGATTTACAAAAACATATAAAAACAAAACCCGCACACAGTTCTATGTCCCACTCGTAAACTTTCTGTTTGCCCCCATTTTCTAAACAAATCTCTTTTAAAATTAATTGGGCTTCCAAGCTCCAGCACTTGTAGGCCCATTTACTTTTGTTAAGTCATTGAATCAAAATTCACTTAAAACAATTTTGGCAAACTATGCAGTTTTCGCGCATAAGAGACACGATATGGCGAGTAATCGACCAAACTAATTGGACTGTATGAGTATTTTCATTTAGATTTGTTTAGATTTTTATCAGTATTTTGACTTAATTTTTCTTCAACTCGTGTTTATTCTTCTAAATCCTCGTAACAAAATCGAACGTGAGTAACATACTGGACCTAAGAAAATCTTTAAAGTAATATATGGAGTTAAGGCTTGACCTAATTTTATCTTCTACTGAAGTATCTACATATGAAAAGAGGCATCGACGACTGGTCAACGATTAGTAACTGTAGTATTCTCTAATCGATTTGCGATTTCTAGAACAACTTTCCGATTTAAAAACTAACCGAATCGTTCGAGGAGGTCGTGGAAAGAGGAGAAAAGGTAGTTCATGAGATCATTCCCACATGCTCTCCTTTGTTCCTTTCTGCTGAACATATCTTTCTAAAGTGATACTGTTTTACATATCATGCTTAGTACGTGCACCTCTGCAAGTTGTGCAACTACGATAGTTTAATGCATATAAATAAGATGATAATAACATCTTGATCGGTACCACTAGTGTGATAGTATTAAAGAATTAAAATTCAATTGTTTTCCAACTAACCAACAACAACAACCAAAAAAACGTCAAGATGAGTAAAACGGTGGTTAAACATTCAAGAAGATTGCTCTTTATGATTTGGTTGCACTCAACCTGTCACAGCGATAGCTAAGTTATGTTGAGAATTAACAAAAAGGAAAGAAGAAAAAAAAAACTCATTTTCGAAGCTTTAAAGGAAAAATACATCGCTATGCATTTAAAATACATGAATGAGGCCGGAAATATGGAACAAAGATTACAAAACAGATGATAAGTATTGGGAGAGTATATAGTCGGCCATAGTTTACAATAAAAGCAAATATAAAGTAGTTTAAATGTAGATTTTATAATTCCTTTTTGCGTAAAGTGGGGACTATACTATATACATATGTGGGAGTAGCTGAGTAACAGACAAAGAGAGCGACAGAAAGATCTTAACATTTTTTTTTTCAAGTGATCCCTTCTCTCTATTGAATAAAATGAGGACACAATTACTAACAAAAAACTATAAACCTGCCCCACTTATATATCCCAAAAAAAAAAGAAAAGAATAGCTATGAACAGGTAAAACTCAATCTCATTGTAGAAAATCTGTAAGAGAAGCTTGTATCTCTTCAAGTGTTCTTCCTTTGGTTTCGGGTACCATCGCATATATAAATACTACACCCGCCCCGCAGATACTAAAGAAGATCAAGAACGTTCCTGAAATATAATTATACTCCAAAAATGAGATAATTGATCTAATAATAAATCTTGATTATTATTCTATTTTTTTAAAAAATATTTAGCATATAATTATACCTGATGCGTTCCATTCGATCATGAAGTTGTAGGCGAACGCTACAATCCAACTAAAGGACCAGTTGGCTAATGTAACCAGAGTCCCAGCTGAAACTTTAACATTCATTGGGAAAATCTGCAAAAAGAATCAAAATGTTTTACCTTTTTAGAGCTGAAAAACAAATTATATTGACTCTGAGGAGGAGTTTCTAAAGAAGTTAATGTTGGTTTATTATACCTCAGACATGATGATCCATGGTAAGCCTCCCATGCCTACGGCAAATGCAGAGATGAAACCCTGTTGTTTGTGAAAGAAGCATGATTTAAAAATTAGATCAATTTTATACAAACAGCATTGCTTTTTAGTTGATTGTTTTATGTTACCAAAATGGTTTTATACGTACCACTACACCGATACATGTAAAAATCGGAGTGAGCTCATCGAGCATGCCATGTGACTGTCCAAGAAGGAAAAATAAACAATGGTAAATATAACAGAGTAAATTCAAAGTGTGTAAATCTTTTTTTTAGAGTCAAAAGAATTGTTGATTTTACCCGAAAGCTGAAGGAAAATGCAAGGAGCAAGCTGGAAAAGCACATCCCACTAGTAGAAGCCTGTAATTAAAGATCATTTCATTTGTTTAATAAAGGATGTCTAAATTTTGTTTGCTTCGTTTCACATTTGAGCAAAAAATGATAACAAATTTTTACCATTAGAAGCGGTCTTCGTCCCATTTTCTCAACCAAGATCAAACCCAATAAAGCTTTTGGTATCTACAAGCAAGAACACATAGCATAATTAGGTATATAGTCCTTGGCAAGGCTTTTTGAAGAATAAAATGAAACTATGTACGCAAATACATACCATGATCACTGCAAGAATCATTGTGCCAATGCTACTTGGGAAACCTGTCAAGAGTAAATATAAGCATAAAGATTTGTTAGTACTCCAAATGAAGACAAATCAATAAAAGGGTAACATAGTTTTGTTTTTTTTTCTATTTACCTCCTTTATCAAATACGCTACCGACATAGAACATAATCCCTGAGCTTCCAGAGAGCTGTTGCAGAAGCATTAGCCCCACACCAATCTGAATAAAGAAAAGAAGAAAACGCTCACAAACTTCAGTAAACGGTCATAGACAAAACATTACATATTTGAGACACAAAAGCGTTTCAGAACAACTTACAACAAGAGATGGAGCATATCTTCTCTGGAACAAATCAAATACCCGAGATTTTGGTCCTTCATCAAACAACACCATGGTTTCCTACAGTTGGATTGGTCATTAATCACGTGTTTTGAGTTACTAAAAAAATGAAAAAACAGAGATGATTTTTGAAAAGTTGCAATACTTTGATAGTGTCGGCTTCTTCAGAGACATCAGCTTCATCTCCACGGAGAAGCTGCAATGAAGCTCTACATTCTTTATCACGCCCCCATTTTCCCTACATACCATTTAAACCATATATAGAAAGAAATAATCAATTCACATGTTTCCATAAAAAGATCAAAACTTTTGGAAACGGGTCTCTAAAACATACCAGCAATCTAGGGGATTCTGGAATGAAGAACAGAGACACAACTTGCAAAACACATGGAATCAAACCTGAAAATGAAACCGATAAGACTTTAAATCATTCTCCCGTCACTAAAAAATTGCTCAGAAAAAAAAAAATGTTTTGAGAGCAATCAAATATTATACCGATCAAGGCCAAATGACGCCAATGAACAAAATTTCCAATGACGTAGAATAATGAAATCCCACAACTCTGCATCAGCTGTAACAACATTTTAAAAGATTATTAGTATCAGAATCTTTTCATTCAGGTTATATTATGATTATTCTTAAAAGTACCTGATTAGCAAATACAAATGCTCCTCGGACATGTTTTGGTGTTATTTCTGCGATATAAACTGGTACCTGGTTGTAACAGAGAGTTAACATAGAGTTCAGTAACAAGAAAATTTTGAAAGAAATGAATTAGAGAAAATAAAGAGCAAAAGAATAATTACCACGTAGCTGAATAAACCAACAGCAAAACCTGTGGATAGTCTTCCAACATTCAACCATATTGTGTCTGTTGCTAAAGCTATTGCAAGCCAACCGGCAATGCAGAAAATTTGACCAAACCACATCGCCTGTTTAAAGAATAACAAATCATTAGTACTTAGCTTGATGAGTTTTTTATATTATAGTCTCGAATCATTGAGTTTTAGATATTATAGAATAGAGAGTGATGGTGAAAATTTTACCCCTTTTCGACCCACGAGATCTGCGACTTTCCCGCTGAAGAGGGCACCAATCATCCCTCCGAAAGTCATGATTGATCCAAACATGGAGTACTGGAGTAATTTAAAGAAAGATACAAATCTTGAGTAAGAAAATTACTTTATGAGCAGGGTGAAGAAGAATCATAAGAAGAAAATGGTTTGCTCTCTTACTTGTGCAACAGAGAGGCCTAAATCTTTTACGATCCCTGCTTGAGCAACTGATGAATAACCTGCCTGTTATATCCAAATATTCTTATTTTAGTATATTTCACATAACTTTTTTGTGTATAAAATTATTTAATTCATATTGTTCTGAACCGGAAAATAAAAAGGAAATAGAGAGTCGATGAAGATTCATAAAGAAGTGTGACTAACCGCAAGACCGTAGCAGAAGGAGCCACAAACAGAAACGAAAGTACTGAAGAGGACGACGACGGTGATACGACACTCGTTGATGTCGTTTCGGTTCTTGTTCAGTAACCCTGCTTCAAGAATCCTTTGGTTCTCCGACATCGTCATCTTTTAATTTCTCTCCTTGTGGGAAAAGATTGTGCTGAAAGAAAATGTTTTTAGATTGCTTCTTTGGCTTCGATTTGAAGACTGAGTCGAAAGAAAAGCTCTCTCCCATTTATATTCCTTGAGTAATGGAGGAGGAAAGCCAGAGGTCAGCTTCCATCCATCTTTTCTTTTGTGTCACGTTTCTATTCGGTTTTTATTATTTCTTTATTCTTATTTTTATATTTCAACTCTTTAATAATTCCTATTGGTTTTTCCATTTGAATTTTTCAATTACTTAAGACTTTTTTGATGGCCCGTCTGGCGTACGATATTAAAACTATGTGATTCCTCCTCATCTTTATCAATTTGGCTTTTTATTTTTTTTTTGACTTAAGTGGCTGTTATCACTTTCTTTATTGGGTAACTTTGAAAGTGGTCCCCACCACGAATCAAAACGGTAATAAAGTGAAAAACTTTGCGATGAATTACATATCTGATTATGTCTAGATTCACTTTATGAATCCTCCGTTTTGCATAAACCGATAGTATTGTTTTACTGGCCTGAACAAAACTATCCATATTTAGATCTATTTTTTGTTTTGATATGTACAATCATATGAACCGTATACATTTCAATATAAGTGTCCTTTTAATAATCTTTTCCTATTTATAACTTGTCGTTTTTTAGAAATTGAAAAATCCACACTTTAGTCAAACATACCTGATTTTGCCCGTAGTGAAAAGTAAACAAAATACAACATTGTTGGCTTATTGCATGACTCACTTATTTTTGGAGAGGTATATTAATTATACGGTACGGTACCTAATTAATCTCTTAATTGCCGTAAAAAAAAAGTCAAAACATTACTTGCCGTATATCAAAAGACTATTGGTATATATGATGAGTCTTAAAATATTCTAGATAAAGCGTAGTATTGTAATTGTTGGAGAATAGAAAAGAAACTAGAAATAATTTAGGAGATAAATTACTTCATACGTGTTTAATCAAATTGAAATGAGTTGTCACATTCAATAGTATCATGCAATAGTAAACGCGTTGTTGATAGAGGTTTGAAGTTTACATGGGGAAAAAAAAAAAAGTCGTGCACGTTAGCTATTGCGTTAGAGTAATGACCCAATTCAAGATATCTTGTAAACTATATATCCAATTTCAAATGTCTTACGCTCACCGGTTTATCTTCACATTTTCAAATTATGACATATTGTCATATCTAATCTGATATCGACAGACTGTGATTGCTTATTGGGGACAATGGAAATCAAGAAATCATCAACAACCTTTGAATGTTCTCCTGCAAAAAGGTATTTATTGTCCTGTTTCAGTCTATCTTTAAAAGGAAAATCAAAGGTAATCTTAGGCTTAAAGCAGAATTGGTTAGAGATTAATAGAGAGCGATGTTCATTTTTGAAAAGTATAAGTTATGTGGCTCCGCCTCGATGGAACAACTTGGTAAAACACAAACTATTCACCAAATTCAGTATATATATACAAAGTAGTGATCAGCGTTATTTGTCACTGTCGCATTTTCTGTAGCCGCAGGTTGAACGCGCTTTAGACCAAATGCATTGGAATTTAGTGCAATATATGATGTTTCTTTTACTACATTTTTTTGAAAGATTAGAGCTTTGATAAGAGTTATATAACTTATAAATCAGAAAGTCTTGAGCTCGGCCTTATCATTTCTGAAGACTTGATTAGTAAATGATTTAAATCACAAGAGTTGCGTATCAAAATGTTTTTTTTTTATTTTGTTTTTGTTTTTGGGTTTTGTCTCTTTGAGAGACTATGAAGTGTTGGGTTTCTGAAATTGTCGTCTATTGGCACATCAATTGAGAAAAGCTAAAGACCGAATAATAAGCTTGCAAGTATTTTGTGTTGCAATGCATTAACACAAATTTAAGAGTATTTTGTCAATGCTAGTACTGGATTTTCAGGATTAGTATTTATTACTGCAGATGAAAACGATAGTAAATATTAACCGAATGTAGTTTTATCCACGAATTATATATTCTGGTTTTTTATAACACAGTAACCAATTTTTATTACTAAATTGAATTTCTTATTAAGCTCCTTATTTAGGATGAGTTAAAGATTTTAATCAGGTAGACAATCAAATCAACACTTGATGCTTAGAGATGTATTGGCAGATGTTTTTGTTTCTTTTTGAAATTAAAATAAGAGAAAGTAAAAGCAGTAGCAACGTGATATCTTCAGTCATAATGTGCCAAAAAAAAAAATTTGCCCAAAAAAAAAAAAAAAAAATGTGCCAAAAAAAAAAGAGTTAGTGACTCGTATCTTTAAAAATCGTAATGTTGGGATTCTTTAATTCTTGGCCTCCTTTTAGTGACTCGTTTTTTATGTACAAAAATGTTGGTCCATTTTACATGTGACGAAGAAAGTGGGTACTCCAATAACAATTTGTGACCTAAAAGAATTTAATTTTAATTAATAAGGTGCGTCGGCAGAATCCAAAAATACGTAGCTGTGATATTGGCCTAAAAATTCCTATGTCTTTTTCGGAGTGAAGCAAAAATTAACTAATGCAGCTAATAGATGTAGGAAGCAAATATAGACCATTCACTTCGAAAATATTTATATAGGCTAGGGACCGGTGGATCCAGAAGAGTATTTACTCGGAAAAAAAACTGTCAAGAAATCAAAATAGAAAGTCAAGAAATCAATAAATGGAAAAATCTTGTGTGCAAAAGGAAGTCAAGAAATCAATAAATGGAAAAACTGTCAGTTACATTTCGAAAAAAAAAAAATATATAGAAAAGCAAATTATTGTAATGGAAACAGACAGAGCCACAGTAGTAGTAACGGTAAAGTTGCAAACTTTAAAATTATTAACATCTGAGGGAAATATGATAATGTTTATTGAAGAATCAAAGTGATTTACAAAGGAACATGAGGGAATCAAACTTGTTTTGGAACGAATCTTTTACAACTATACCAGCACATTTGGTGGCTCCGGATCCCCCCCATATTGTTTTTGTCGTTTGGGCTTTAGGTGTATGCGATCGTACTAACGTAAACTAAATATTTTTTGATTTGGATTGAAGTGAAGTGCAGTTTGATCATGTCTATACTTACTAGCTAGTATGTTCTGTGACTGTTTAAAAAAATCTTTAAATCGAAAACTTAACGTTCAATTTGGGAAACATCGTTTTGTCAAATATATAAATGACCTCTTTAGACAAAAATCTTTTCTCCAAAGAAAAAACATAGTCCCTAAAGGAGTTACAAACTGATATGATACTGTGAGTTGGAATTTGGAATTATGGGTTTATGTTGAACGTGACATGTTTATTCCTAAAATATAAAGGAAAAATCTTTACAAGCATGGGAATTTTGTCGAGTGATATAGAGTGTTACAGGCAAGTGGAGATCGGGATAGAAAATATAATACTAGGAAAATTGGTTAAAAGACAAAAGTGTGTATAATTTTATTTGTTTAATGGGAATCATTACGTGGTACATTGGATCCATTCTCTCTGTTTCTCTCCTTCGGTAGATAGAAATACATACAATATGGAGTTTATAAACGACCACGAGGTTGGCTATTATGCATTCATATCGTCTTCCTTTGTCGTCTTTCGTGTATTTGATCTTCTTCCCCTCAAATAATTCTCTTTGCTAATAATATAATAGTGTCGGAAGGCAGAATAATAATAAATGAGCTTTGATGTTTGAAAAATAATAATAAATGAGTTTGAGATTTTTTTTATTTCAATAGTTCACGTTTTATGTATGAACTGTATGATGAACAGCGTACCTACCGAAATACAACTTCGATCTACTTATTTTCTTAGGTTTAGATTTTAATTGTTAATTTTTAAAAATTGGGGTTTAAGGTTAGGATTTTAAACTCTAGTTAATTAATAGTACTAATTCACGTTTTAAGTATGAACTGTATGATGAACAGCGTACCTACCGAAATACAACTTGGATCTACTTATTTTCGTAGGTTAAGATTTTAATTGTTTTTTTAAATTGGGTTTTAAGGTTAGGATTTTGATTTGATTAATAACTAGTGCCAACTATGTTACTGATCCGATACATAAGATCAGTACACAATTCAAGACCCCCGGTTTAATAAAAAATCCAAATTACATGATCGAATGACATACACACATCAGAAAATAATTAGTGGAACTAAAGACAATCAACCAATCCATATCAGCAAGTGGTGTACTAAAGATCTTTTGACGGTCAAGGTTTTCAAAGCCCATGATGAAATCAGGTGCGGAAAGAAACTAATGCGATAAAACGCACTCGTTTTTGTTTTTTTGTGCAACATAAAAAGGCTCTAGTTTTTAGTCCCAAAACAATATGAGAATTTTCAAACGTTTGTGCTTCTGGCAACAAAATAGGATAAGAACTCTGACGTCAGTCTCATGAATGTTGTCGATATGGACCAGGACCAGGACCAGGACCACCGCAAAGTATATATGTTCGACAAAGTCTATCATTTGACTGTTTTACTTGTCTAAGCATTGGAAAGCGCAAACCCAAAACCCTGAAATGATGTACCCGACTTAAAAATCTTTTTGGCTTTAGGTTTAACTTTTTTAGGATTTAGATTTTTGTTTTGTTTTTATATGTACGTACATCAAAAAGATCAAACGATACCGCAAGCCTAAACCGGTTAGTACAAAAGAAAAGAGACGTTATATACTACTTGCGTTAGTGGTGCAATCCTACTGCTACGAACCTAAGCCATCACAGATATCACCATGCCTCGGGAGGCATTGACCAAAACGACCCCGATGCTCCAACACCCTCCGACACGGGCAATGAACCGATCCCAGCTTGCGTTTCATTTGTAACAATCGGATAGCTTGGATGCGCCAAAAATGCTTGAACTTCATCAGCTATACTGTCATTGTAAGCTGTTGGTTGAGGCGGAGCAAGTGTTTGAGCCTGTGCCTGAACCGGCCGCGTTGGTCGAATGATCATGTGGTCATACCCCGTGGAACCGGGCATTATGCTGCCTCGCATCCGGGTCTGTGGTTGCCAATTTGCAGTGTTAGCAGAAGTCAAGTTCATGAACTCACGTGATAGCAACTGTTCCGCTGCACCACCAGGATGCATTCTTTGAACGGGTCTTTGCATCGGTATCTGCATGTGTCTCTGGTCGGAAGTCCCTCCATAGTTGACAGCTAAAGTCTGGGGATGTGTATAAGATGGCATTGGTCTTTCCTGTGCAGGGGACACGTTCCTGATGGGAAGCCTCAGGTTCTGCAAACAGAAGATAACGGAAAATCTTCAGAGTCGGTTTAAAAAGCAAGTTGTTCATGTATACGAGAGATTAAAAGATAAGAATCCTTGCAGGTTAAAATGGTGGTTAAACAAATTTGAAACCGATGAAATGTAGCTTCACCAGATGTTTAAGCAAAGAAACAGACATAGGGTAATGGAGAAAAACCTGCAGTGCATAATGGTTCTGCAACGGAGGAGGCATAGGTGGCAATTGAGTCTGAGTTATGCCATAGATGTGGTTCCATCTCTCCATCAAATCAGGTGTTCTTCCTTGACAATGTCCAAGGGGCGTAACATATGACCCTTGAAATTGAGAAGAATGAGCAGCAGGCATTGACATGTGAAAGCTCCCCGTATTCGTAGCTAATCCATCTTGTCGAGATGAAAATGTCATGGGTGAGGCTTGTCTTACTGCAGAATCTCGCGTGTTTTCTACTGGAGGAAAGTTCATCAACTGTTGCTGCAGATCAAAAACATTCAAAGTTTGTGGAAACTGCGGCAGTGCGTTGATTGATGCACAAAACTGGTTGAGCATAGTAGCAGGGTTATGTGTGCTATTTGGCGGACCCCGAATCTCGGATGAACAAGGCTTATGTTCATTGACTTGAGTGACAACGGATGTTTCCCATTCATTCTCATCCCTGGTAAGATCCAAAACAGTTGGCCCCACGTTTATGAAACTATTTGGGTCTCCGTGGTCATGAGTGGTTTCCTGCACAACTTCCATATTCTCATCGCTTTCCGTTGCAACCCTCCATGATCCATCAGCAGAGATAATCACGTCTGTAGCATCACGTGCCACCTCTCCTAGAATCTGTGGATATTAGACAAGGTTGTTAATTCAATGTAGGATGTAAAAAGATGTACCACCAAGCAACAGTAGTAAGCTACTTACCTTTATCATGTTTTGATCTTTACGAATGTCGGTATAGCAGACAGACTGGTTGCAATGCGGGCAGCGCCATGATGGTATTCTCGTATTTATGTTGACATAGTTCCAGAAATCAAAACACTACAACAGAACGTAACCTATCACAACAGAGACAACGTATACAATGGAAACACAAGAATGATATGAATCACATGAGACTTTCATTTCTTATGCTGAATAGAAAATGCATCACCTGAAGATGCTTACAGACATGACCCTTCACAGGAAGCTTGATACGCGTGCGGCTGTTACAATGGCGATGTATAAATCTTATAAAAGGTTAACTGTGAACGCAATTTCTTGAAATATAAAGCTCGAAAAAACATCCCCGTGTACCTGATAGGACAGCTGAGAGATATCCTTGATGGGCCCTCACTTATTTCATCTACACACAAAAATTGAAAAAGACAAACAATGGTTGATCTAGAGAAGAGTTCTCGGAATACAACTGTATGAATGCAAACGATTACATGATATTGATGAGTGATGACTTCGTTGTGATGACTCTTGAATTTACCTGAATTTGATTCAATGACTTTAGAATGAACATAGTTTTTCAGCAAAGGATTGACGGGCAGTGGTATGTCATCCAGTAAGGCAATAATAATGAAGTAACTACCTGTAGCAAATGGGTATCTGTTCATTATCACTGAAAATGAGGAGAAGAAATAAAGATGATGAATAAAATCTTAAATGAACAGGAACCTCCAAAACAGCCTATTGCTTGCAGAAGATTTGACCCCGGGTTGAGCAGGGCAGTAACATCCGTTGGACACTGAGGCCCAGAATCCTGAAAAGAGATTACGATAATTACTTTTTAACATAGTAAGTACTTCAAAAAACATACTCGAGAAACAAACAAACGAAATACACAAACCATTGAGATGCTAGCTCTCTTTTCAACGTTCTTTCCATTCAACAAAAAGCTGTGATTTTCATGTAAAAGCCAATGTGGTTAACATACAAAAACTGCTTCACAAAAGGTTAGTGGAAAAAGGAAAGTAATCCAACCACACCTGACTTCTTGGGGATGTATAATACAACTCGATTTGCTTATGTCCTCTGTCCGGAAAACTAATAGTCCCTGAAGAGCGAGCAAGATTCCCGTAAGTAACCATTAAGCATACTGCATATAAGCAGGTACATAAACAGAAATTCAAAAGTTTAACATGCTGAAGTAACATGCCTTGAAAGTACATTCATGCGTCTGCTTACCTAATTGCATCGAAAACTAAAATGCAGGAGAAACCACACATGCACAGTAACAACGACAATACAATATGAGCGGCCACGCAAATTTAACTGAAGACGCAAAATCTAGCACCGGGACTAGCAGAGTAATAAAACGCATCCATAACTCAAAAACCCAACACATACTACTTTCAGTTTGGTAGAATGTTGCAGCATCTTCTTTGAAATATGGAAGTCCTTCACCAACATGTTTGATTCTGTCTGCCAGAAGAAACAAAGCCAAATAAAGCACACATTCAAAAAATGATGCTTAGAACTGAATAATAATAAATAAAGTCACCTTCCCCTCAGAAGAAACAAGAATATTCCCCAGCTTCAGAAATGGATAGAACCTACAGACAGAAAACGAGGAGATTCAAACAAACCAATGTTTCGATTTTACAAGCACCATTGCTAGTGTGAGGTAAATAAATGAACACACAAGACCTTCCTAAGAAGCTCTCAAATACATTCGATTACTCAATAAGCTAAAATATCAAAAAGAAAACTGCAGCCCCACCTCTCCATGACCTGCGGTATCAGACTGACGGGACTATTCAGAGTAGGGGTGACATTTTCAGGACTGCTGAAACCTTTCCACATCTGTACAAGAAGAAAAACATCACACTATTTACAGAATCCTGATTCCTGATTAATACTCTAATTCAGAAGACTCGTCTAAAACAACACATACCGAGTCTACAAGAGCCAATAGTTCCTGAGACTCTCTCTGCGGGAACCATCCAAGCTGACAAGCACTCTGTGCAACAAACATAAACACAGTATTAAACATACACCTAATGATGTAACCTATACAGGACTCAAGAGTTGCAAATTCTAACTCTCTCTTCTCCATTACCTTGGCTGAGATCATCAGCGCCATTATCACCGCCCTCGTTTGATGATTACATCCACGTTGGCACACCTGCATATATCACAGAGAAAGGAAACAAACCAGTACTATGAGTATTACTATCACTAAACCCAAATGAAGAAGCACCTTCAAAAAAATTGAAACCGCATTCAAAGAGAAGACGAAGCGAAACAAACTTGATTAAGGATTCTAGGCAGGTCTTGGGCGTCGACCATAACTTCATCATTCCCAATAGCGGCATCGATTCGACTGCGATTCACAAAACCAAATTCAAACCTACCGAATAAGGAAAGCCAAAACAAGGAGAAAACTTTCCGAGTGAAACTGGAAACCCGGAAATGCAGATTTAGGTTAACCGGAAGTGAGAAGAAGGGAATGAAAATGAGATTACTTGGCGAGAGAGAAGCAGTAAGCGTGAAAGTTGGTGTCGACCTCAGGGAGAAAGCTGGACCTAAACGTAGAAATTGAAGAATGTCGTAATCTCTTTTTTTTTTTTTTAGTAACTACTGTATTAAACAATAATTGATAGATGTTGATACTTAAACTAAACAGATAAAAGACAATCAAAAGTCAAACGACGTAGAAATAAATAAATTAGAGTAAGCAAATGAGAAGAGAAAATACCTAGAAATCGGCGGAACCACCATTGATGAATCTTGAAGATTCTTCTTCTCCAGTCTTCTCCGAGAAGCTTTGTGGGAGAGAGAGCAGAGACTTTTTTTATTCCAAAACTAACACGACACAGCCGCTAGGCACTAGCTTACGGCTTTTTATAGTTTGCAGCTTACTCCTCAATGTTTTAGAATTTATCAGCGTGGTCCTTCAACTTCTGATAAGTGTAACAAAATCGCCTTCTCGTTATTGTCCTTCTCATTCTCAGCTTCTTTTTTTGATAAAAATAAATAACTTTTAGTTTGCATCAATTCATGTCACTAAAACAAAATACATACATAATCTTTTTTTCCTTTTTACGTCTTTTGTTATTTCTATAACGTCAATCAAAGAACTATAGGAAATCGATAAGAAATCTTAACATGTTTTAAGTACGTTAGTATATCATTAAACCGAACTTGTAGATGGAAAGTTTGAAAGGTTAGAAACTTATTCATAAAAAAAGAAAGTTATATTTCTTGGAATAAATCATTCTAAAAATACTCAAACTCAGTTAATTACATTGTTAAAATAAGCTAATAAACTGAAACTGAAAACTTCATCAGATAATCTTACTCAAATATCACATTGTTATCGAGAAAAAAGAATCACATTGTTGAAAGATTTGTAGATCGTAACATGTTTTAAAAAAACGTTGCAATATATTTTAGATTTACGATAATTGAACTAATGATGCTTGAATCTCTTCGAGTGTTCGACCTTTTGTCTCAGGCACCAAAACCCATATAAATATGATCGTCACAACAGAAACTCCAGTAAATATAAAATAGGTTCCTGAAAGTTTGATAAACAGAAAATTTATTTGATTTTTTTTTATCAATAATAACAAGTATTATAAATCTATAATAGATTTGAACTTATATGGTTACACAACGCACTAATACATAAAGAAAAAAAATTGAAACCGCGTTGAACGAAATGCAAAGCCCTGATCAAACATGTCATTTCGCTATAATATCGTGTTAATGAGTTGAAATTACCTGAAGAGCTCCATTGCATCATGAAATTAAAACTATAAACGACAATCCAACTGAAAAACCAATTTGACACCGTTACAAGGCTACCCGCGGCGATTTTCACATTCACCGGAAATACCTGTCATATATAACCAACATTTGATTGGAAATTAACAAGAACTTTTTATATAAAAAAAATAAAAAATTAACAAGAACTAAGCTAGTTTTAGTTAAAGTCGAAGAGTAACAAAATACCTCGGACATTATTACCCATGGTATTCCACCTAGACCAATGCAGAAGAATGAGACATAACCCTGGTATATAATTAGGTTGATTACGATGATTAGTGTTGTGGTTTCATCGACCTATTTATAACTAACTGAAAAGTATTGTCATTTACGTACCATTATGCCGACAATTAACAAAACGGAACAAAACTTTTGGAATTCACCATCCTTCTGCTCAGGGAGGAAAAATAAAAATTCAACTACAGTAAAGTCTATAATTTTGAGAATCCAATCAAGTTAACGCAACCACTGAAGTAGTTAAGGAGACTAAACCTGAAGATAGTAGGAGAGGCCAATTAAGAAAGAACATATGCACACACCAATAGAAGATATCTGCAAAAATGATTTTTTTTTTTAATTCAAGTAATTAAAATCAGTTATTTATATTTTGAAGATAATGAAATGCTAACCATAAGAAGTGGTCGGCGTCCCCATCGGTCAACGGTTAATATGACAACTATAGATTGAGGTACCTTTAAAAGAAATAAGTTGTATCTGAATTAAAAAGAATAACTATTAAAGATAAGTAATTAAGGAGTAAATAATGTTTTGGTTTACCAAAATAGCTGCGAGGATGGTTGTTCCAATGTCGATTGGAAAACCTAATTATACAAGAGAATATGTTTTAAAAAATCTTGATCGAATATTAAACCAGTGAAATTTTTTGATTTACCGGCTTTGTCGAAAATACTAGCAGCGTAAGCACTAATCGCCGAACTCCCACAAAATTGTTGCAAAAGCATTAATCCCAATCCAATCTAATCGTTTTCAGCGAAATTAACAAATACGGTTATGTTCCGGTCAGTAAAAATCGGTAACATGTTTATTTAATTCATATATAAATATAAATGCTTGGTGCTAGTCTATTAGATGAGACTTACGATTAACGAATGTGCGTTTCTCATGTGGAACAAATCTCTTACTCCATTTTGTGATTCTCTTCTGGAGATTTTCACGGTTTCCTATTTCACATTAAACTGTACTTTTGAATTATCGAAAATAAAAGGTAAACGTAAATATACAGTTCATGGCTTTTGGTTATACATTTTATAACATAAATTATACTATATTTTGTACTCCCTCAAATTGTATACCTCGTATACATTTAAATTCTCATACCTAGTTTATAACATAATTTTCCATACATGTCAGAGATATATGATAGTTATGTCTTTTTGATTAAAAACTAAAACATAACTTAAATGCGTCCTTTATAACTAAAAATAAAATACTTACTCTGATTTCAGCTGCTTCTTCGAGTATATCAACATTGTCTCCTCGTAGTCTCGTGAGAGTAATTTCAAGTTCTCGATCTCGACCATACATCGCCTGAGAAGAACATTAATATGTGTCGGCCGTGCTTAATTGTTTGTATATAGTACTACCAATAAACGCATTGGAAAAATATTATTGAAGAAACAATTGAAAGTATAAAAAATACCAGCCATCTAGGAGATTCAGGAATGAAAAATAAACATATCGCTTGGCTAGCACATGGAATTGCACCTAGTCATAGATTGGGAAATCAAAGATGAGCTCATTTATCAATTTATTATGATTTGATATAAAGTTCATTTGAGAAGAATTATAGTTACTTAGAAGAGCTAATGTTCGCCAATGAAACAAATTTCCGGTGAAGAACATGAGCGAAATCCCAAAACATTGCATAAGCTGTAAATTCAAACCCCAATAATAATTTAATAAAGCGCGTTTTTCTGTTTAGAAAGGAACATTATGCTTTTAAAATTTAGTAATCTGATATAATTTGTTCTCTCTTACCTGGTTGGAAAAAGTGAATCCCCCGCGAAATGTTTTGGGTGTAATTTCTGCTATATACACAGGAACCTGTATATTTTCACCAATCGATCAAATAATTAAAATGGTATCATACTAGTTAAGCAAACAAACTACATACTATTGTAATTTAGATATTTTTATAAATAGCTAAAAATTTTGTTTATATAAAAAGGGGGAGATAATTACCACATAACTAACGAGACCAACCCCAAACCCCAAGAAGAGTCGTCCAACATTGAGTAGCATGATATCCTTCGAATAAGCACAACAAATTAAATGCAAACTTTTTAATAAAAATACTTATAAAAGCTTTAAAAATACATATTTTTATATATTTAGCAGAGTACATAATATTTAATTTTTATTTTATATTTTCCAGGTTTTGCATTTGTAAGATATATATATTTTTTTTTAAAAATAGGGATCTGGAGAAACAAACATGTCCAAACGCTACAGCGAGCCAACCAAAGGTGCAGCATACATCTGAGATCCACATTGTCTGAAGATCAAAATATTAAAAACGTAAGATGACGTCAATTTAGAGGATCCGAAATAAATGGGACTGGTCCAATTAAGTAAAGTAAGAAGGAAAATTAATTACTCGTCGACGACCGATGAGTGCAGCGAGTTTTCCGCTAACCGCGGCCGTAATCATTCCTCCTAATGTCATTACTGAAGTGAAAAACGAATACTGGCCAACATAAAAATAGACCATACAATAAGTTTATAGAAAAACATGTAGTTAATTATTTTATTACGCACACACAATTAATATACATATGAAAGAACTTTGCATGTTCACAAAAAAAAAAACAAGATAGTTAATTTGGCCATACAAAACACATGCATCTACTTTTTTTTTTTTTTTTTTTTACTTCACTTAACTTAAAATAAAGCACGTTTAAAATACTAAAACAAAAGAGAAATTAATCTAAAAAAAAAGAGAAATCTCATTATTTTCAAAATGAAAAACCTCCAAATTTTTTAACTGGATTGGATTATATAATTAGCCATTAAGTAATGATCTGGTTGCATTCTGAAAGAGATTATTATTTAATTATATATACTAGCTCAAACAAATTTATTGATATAGAAACGGATAACGTGGACTTACATCTGCCACAGAAAGTCCCAGTTCTTCCATGATTTTGGATTGAGCAGGTGACGAATATGACATCTTCGAAACAGATCACAAAATTAGGCCACAAATAGTTATTGTAAACTGATATCACATATGAGATATTGAAATCCATGAAGAACTCATATGAAATTAAACTGGAAAAATCCATAAATCATCGAATATTTGACAAAAGAAAAAGGAGAAACGCAAGAGTGATGATGAAATCTCACGGCACAGCCGTAACAGAAGGATCCAGCGACAGCGACGGAGGTACTGAGAAGAACACCATAAGTGAAGGAAGAAGGGCTTCTTGCTTCTTCTTGCTTATTCAGCAGATTTGCAGATTCCATCTTCTTCTTTGATCTCTCTATCCTCTCTTCTTTTTGATTGCTGCTCTGCTGAACTGTTTTAAACTTTAAATAGTCTTTCAACTTTTATATGGCCCATTGGTTGCTTACGCATGTGGTAGAGACATCAATTTAACAAATACTTACACTGTTTTTTTTAGATATTTTTGGTTGGGCGAAAACAAAAAATTGAGTGATTTTTTTGGCTTTTTTTCCTTAAAGGAGTAGTAAACTGTAAAAGTCAAACTAAAGGGTTAAAACTTTAAAACATTAAATAGGTCAAAAGTAAAAAACCTCTCACAGAGATTAATTTTTTTTTTTTTTTTTTTTTTTTTCATTTTTCGGAAAAAAAAAGCAGATGTACGGACTAGATGATGCGCCAAGCTGGCGATCCGGGTGATTTCATGCTAACCAATCAGAGTTAACCTTTTCAGCCTATATATAGAGAGAAGAGCAATAACCCTAATGGCACTTAGCTACTCCATTCCTAGGGCTTTGACTACTTTATTCTATTCGATTTTCTGCAAAATTTCGTCACTAGTTCTACATTTTTCGCTTCCAAGGAGACGATGAGTACAGGCGCAGGAACCGGCACCACCAAAGGTGGGAGAGGAAAGCCAAAGGCCACCAAGTCCGTCTCTCGTTCGTCTAAGGCCGGTCTTCAGTTCCCCGTCGGAAGAATCGCCAGATTCCTCAAGGCCGGAAAGTACGCCGAGCGTGTCGGTGCCGGAGCTCCGGTCTATCTCTCTGCCGTTCTCGAGTACCTCGCCGCCGAGGTATTATTCCTCTCTTCTGCTGATTGTCTTTTTTTTTTTCCGATTTCGATCTGATTCGTTTCAAATCCGAATCGATTTCGCTTAATAGTTGGATTTCGAAATTGTATCTGTTTCGAATTTTGTGCTGACTCGAATCTATTCGATGTTTTGACAGGTGTTGGAGCTTGCTGGAAATGCAGCGAGGGATAACAAGAAGACACGTATTGTACCAAGACACATTCAGCTTGCGGTGAGGAACGACGAGGAGCTTAGCAAACTTCTGGGAAGCGTGACGATTGCTAATGGAGGAGTTTTGCCAAACATTCACCAGAACCTTTTGCCTTCAAAGGCCGGGAAGAACAAAGGAGATATTGGATCTGCCTCTCAGGAGTTTTGAGTCTCGTTTTAGCCTCTTGTATATTAGACCCTGAATGTTTTTTTCTGGGATCAGTTCGCTTTAGATCTAAGCATATGGCTTTTGCAGAATCTGTTCGATGACCGATGGAATGAATGTAAAATTTTAAATGGATACACATGGTTTTGATTCAGTTTTTTTTTTCAATGAAATATAAATTCTGAGCAAGTACAATTAATCTTTGAGACTAGCAAAGTTTCAACTCTGTTTCAGATTGCTTCTGTGTATCAATTTCATTTCTAATTTACCCTTTGCGGAACAAGAAGCCCATTAACAAAGTCTGTAACTGCTTCACTATAATTGTTTAGACATGGTTATATTAACAGATATTATTATGTGCTGCAAGATGGGGATGTAGCTCAAATGGTAGAGCGCTCGCTTTGCATGCGAGAGGCACAGGGTTCGATCCCCTGCATCTCCATTTTGTTTTGATATTCTCTCTAAATTTATGTTCCAAACAACCCTAATCAAATAATTGAAGAACTGTTCCAGACTTTTCTACAACTAAGCTCACACGAAAGAAAATGTCTAGGCATTATTTTCACGTATCTTTGCTGGGTTAGTGACTTTTCAGTTTGTAGTACTGTATGTCGAGGTTTCCTTTTTATTAGAGTTCCGAATTCAATATCCAGCTCGATACACAAATGACAAAGCATCTCATGCATTAAAATTCTAATAAAGTAGTCTTTGACTAGTCATGTGAAACTTGAACCAATGAAAAAGTACCGAAACCAATTTGTACATTTAGTAAATACTTATATCTTTCCCAGTAAATCCTGGTTTGTTTTTCCAACCAGTCTGTATAGAATATGATGATATTAATGAACTTCTGCAAAAAAAAAAAAAAAACAAAAAAACAAAAGGAATCTAAAGTGAGAGTATGCGGAGAAACTCAAGTCGCCGGAGGAGCGCCAACCGGATTAATGTTTCGGGAACGGACAAAACTCAGAAACTGGCCGGGAAGTTCTTCTAGGATCGCCTGCACCACCGACACTTGTCCACCTGCATCCACCAATTTCAACGTTTTACTACCAATCCAACGCTAATCTATCTACGCATGACCTTTGTAATCTAAAATGACTCACTGTGGATTTCTCTCATAGGGACGAACTGAACGATATCCCGTGTAGCTATCCGACCCGTTGAACTCTCCAACCGGCGACCATTATCAGCATCGAGAAACTGAAAGCATTTTTACAAGGCCACAAGGATCATCATGCAAGTTAGCTTGCGTTATTGCAAAGAGACAAAGTTTTTAGTCTTGAATGAACAAGAACAAAACTTGTACCTCCATTTGTTTGAAGTCTGCGTTTCCCACGCCGACGATAAGAATTGACAACGGGAGATCAGAGGCTCTCACCAACGCGTCTATTGTACTAGCCATGTCTGTTAGGACTCCATCCTGTACACACAACCCAAACATTTTGACATTGAAGATAGGATCACTTGTACCAGACGCGCATTTGATCTGAATCTGGTCAGAGTCATTGCACGTATCCATGTTATTCAGTCTCTTACCGTAATGATGAGCAGAACAAAGTACTTGGGGTTGTTTTGTGAGAGTGACTGTGAAGCAATATGAGCAGCCTTGTCGACCACGTGTGTGAATAGAGTTGGTCCCGCTAGAGCAACATTGCGAAGAGCACTTGCATAAGCTGTCATGATTCCTTCAACTCCAGCAACCTAAAGGTGGAAAAGGGAATTATTTAAAGCTCTGTGACACTTCAACATGTAATTTGGAGAATGCAATTTTTTCATGATTGTCTCGTAAGTTACCTCGTCGCCATATGAAGCTCCATTCAAGTTAAAAGCATGGGACACAGAACCATCCGCTGTTCTTCCTCCAAAACCCCAAGCAGGAAAACGCCTATCAGAATCATAAAACTGGATGACCTCTCCTACTTCCATGATAGCCTGGAAAAGAAACCATGTTTATTGATACGATAGAACAAGGATATCACAGAGAGAGAGAAACAGTAATGAGATGCTACTACATGAAAAATAAGAAACTCGAGGGTCTTAATACTTAGGATAAGCATAGATTAACTATGATAAGCTATTTCTAATTAAATGGCCAGAACTAATCATGGAACTTCTTTCTACTCCAGGAAATTTATTGGTATTGAGGAAACAGATCAAATGTGAATATTAATCAGATTCCATACAAAAATTGCATGGGAAACGATGGTACCTGCTGATATGAGTTTAATCTGCCCGATGGATCGTTGTAGTGTAAAGAACTTAAATGTTGGGGATCACCATTTGAAGCTGGAAGACAGACCATCAAATGTTATACTTCAAGGTTTATTCTACGATTATAAGATATATATAGAGAGTAGAAGAAGGTGAATCACCAGTGAAGTCAACTGCAACCATGAAATTAAGTTCGAAGCCGCTGGATATGTAATCAAGAAAACTGTATTGAACTTTTTCCACAAAACGATCCACGATGAGTTTGCCTTTCAGAACCTACAGAACCCCAACAAAATCTTCAAGAAAACAGACGCAATTAACTGTCTTAAGATTTTACGCAGATGGTATGTGTAAGCACCTTGTTGCGACCGTGACTTGTCGATGGATAGACAAAGTTTGCAACCTCTTTTTGGAGACAAAGTCTCTCCAGCTCAGCTACAGATTTCTCTGTCCTCCTGTGAGGATCAGTACAATTGTCAGAAACAACAAAAAGCAATATATGGTAAGACCCTGCACAAGAGTAAAATATTGAAGGTTGACGTGTTACCCAATAAGCTCATGATTCCCGTTGGTATTGAAATCAAAGCATTCGATAATCAATGGGTTTTCCTGCGTAGACAAAATAAACGATTTAACAGATGATTACTTCATATATGACCGAGTTATATTAAAACCACTATAGCTTACTTTGCTTCCAAATTGCTGCATAGTCAAGCATACAGGCTTCCACATGGGGTTGAGGTTGTTGTCCACTACCTCAGTTCGACATACCGGCACTGCTATACTGTTCTCGACTATTCTTGAAATTCGTAAGAAAGGATCCTACAAAGAGAAAATAAAACGAGAACTTGAAACTTCTGAAAGAATTATTAATATCGTTATCGGAACAAGACAAGAATACAGAAGCAAGCACGTACACTCTTAGAGAACAAGTCCTTGTTATCCAAATTGACACAGCGAAAATTCATCTCGACGACTGTTTTGGAAGCAACGGTTTCTTCAGCTTGAACAGAGAGTGTTCCCAACTTTCTAGTCACACCAGCTCCAAAGTTACCAGCAAGATTTAATGTCACAGACCGGTTAGGTTTTGTCATAATCTGGTGATTGGAAGAACGAAAATGGAAAAAAATTAAGATATGTTGTACACAAAGAGCAGTAACAGAAACTAATGACCAAACAACAGTAAAACCCATCAAGTAGCAGTGTCCAATTACTGATTTTTTTTTTTTTTTTTTACCTCCGAGAGGACACAGGTGGCTTCTCCCAAGTAATCCTGGTCCTTCAGCTTTAATGTCTGCAGAGTTGAACAGTATGTTGAAACAAATATATTTGAGGTGTAATATTCACAATCAAAATGATCAATGGTTTTTTACTATCAATGAAAACATTACCTTCACTGGCACATTGTGATATCTGGTATCAACATCGTACACATGAAAACTGAAAAGAGAAAGAGTCATATAAGTTGACATGTGGTTAGACATTTGTAAATCATCAGAAAATAGTTGTTCAGAGTAGCATACACTAATGTCTGAACAGCTTCAAACTGAAAAGAGACTGTTATCTTCTCAATCCAATTTGGATCCAAGCTGTTAAGTATGACTTCAGTACGCCCAATTTCCTCAAGCTTCCCATCCTTTTTCCTCAGATACATGACAGCCATCGGGTCACTCTACAACAAAAATCGAAAATTCATCGAGTTAACATGCATTACAAAAACTACTTCTAAATGTATAGTGAAGCGCACAACTATTTGAGAGATGGTCCTACAAGAATAGTGGGATTTTTAGCGTTCTATAGAGACCAGAGCCAAGAGCTTCAAACAAAACAAATGGCTCAAGATCTCAGGCTACCATATCCAAGAATTTAAACTAGTGGTAGTATGAAATCTCCAGAGCATGGAAAGAATATTCTGTATCAGAAAATAGATTTAATAAATGGTCAGGGCATACCTTAGATGTGATGTCACGGTCAATCAAGTTCGAAGCTGACAAAGTTAACTGCAAAAACGCATTAGAATAATGTTAAACACAACTTAAAGGTATAACAACGGTGACTATAGGAATAATAATATAGCATGGATATGCGGATGCAAAAGAAATAGTGTAAACTCATAAGATAAAATAAATCTATTAGGCACGAATCTAAGTAGATGGCAAATGTATATTCTTCGTACATCATCATCATTTCTCAAAGTTATCATCAACAAGCAAATCCTAAAACAATTAACTTTACGCCATAAGAACCAATATGAAGGAGAACAACAGTGGTTCAAATAGTGAAACTGTGCTGCTGTGTTGAAGAATATTGATGAACTTTATTCGCAGTTTTACACAAGAGACCAATCCAAATCGAAATTTTTATTCAAAGTCAATTGCAGAGTGTCTGGGTACTTTCTCAGAAAAGTAACCAAAGAAGAAGAAGTAACAAGAGTTTCTATGAAGAAAGAAGCCATGCTATATACTTTCCTCCACATGACGAGATTCTATAAGCTAACCCCACACAATAAGAGAGAGAGAGAGAGAAAGAGAAAGAACATGGACAAAGACTGAAGACAACAAGTCAATGGTTGGCTCCATGAGAAAAGTACAAGCCATGTATTTGAATATCTTATCCACTATTCCATATGACCAAACAAAAAGATTCACTGTGTTTTTTTTGTTTTTTTAATTTAGCAATATTCTATTCACAGTTTGCAACTTGGTTGATATATCCAAGTAAGTGTGTGTGAACAACATAACATATTGCGAAACTCGGTCTATATAATGGTAAACAAACACAGAGCTGGGAAGAAGACAAACACAAAGCCCTAACTCTGATGTTGATACCTCGATTTGGGAGAAGAGAGGATATTGACCACGCGATCTGAAGAAGAAATCGACGGCGTCGTTGTGCGCCGCATTGTTGGTGGTCGTTGATGTGGGCCTCTGCTGGACCCCTCCGATGGCTTGTTTGCCTCCTCCCACATCTCCACTTAAACAATTTCCCATTATATATCTCTCTCTCTAGATGATGATGATGATTATTCTCAATTTTCG